CTTTCCGTTCTTCTCTTCTCTTCTCTTCTCTTCTCTTCTCTTCTCTTCTCTTCTCTTCTCTTCTCTTCTCTTCTCTTCTCTTCTCTTCTCTTCTCTTCTCTTCTCTTCTCTTCTCTTCTCTTCTCTTCTCTTCTCTTCTCTTCTCTTCTCTTCTCTTCTCTTCTCTTCTCTCTTCTCCTTTCCTTTCCTTTCCTTTCCTTTCCTTTCCTTTCCTTTCCTTTCCTTTCCTTTCCTTTCCTTTCCTTTCCTTTCCTTTCCTTTCCTTTTCCTTTCCTTTCCTTTCCTTTCCTTTCCTTTCCTTTCCTTTCCTTTCCTTTCCTTTCCTTTCCTTTCCTTTCCTTTCCTTTCCTTTCCTTTCCTTTCCTTTCCTTTCCTTTCCTTTCCTTTCCTTTCCTTTCCTTTCCTTTCCTTTCCTTCTTTCCCTTCCCTTTCCCTTTCCCTTTCTCTCTTTTTTAATCTTTTAGTTTGTTTGTTTGCTTACTTGTTTCTTTCTTTCTTTCTTTCTTTTTCTTCCCATTTTTTCTATATTTTTCTTACTATTCTTTCTTTCTGTCTTTCTGTCTGTCTGTCTTTCTGTCTTTCATCTGTTTTGCCCTGTTTTCGGTTTCACTGTCTGTCTTTTTCGGTGAGACGTGATTCACGCATTTAATTTTTTTAAAGAGATTCGTTTATTTCGGTACAATCGTCAGTTGCTAAACCATTCTAATAGCCGCCGTAATCGGAGTAATAACGAGGATGGCCGTAAATACAAAAAAAGTACTCGTCGATAACGGTCTCAAATTAAACGCCAAAAAATCCCCGTTTTTCCCAGGACCCGCGGGAACTTCAGGCTTTTTTCACCTGCAGAAATGTCCCCGGTGTCCTCTTTATTTCCACCTTTCCAACGAATCCGTAAACGTCCGCGGTTCCCGTTAGTTGAATCCCTACGAATAATTTTTTTTTTCTGCAGCAGAATCGCCACCAGCGAGGCAGCGTCAGCCTTTCCCGTGCTGCTCGGGCGGTGCTGCTGCGGCGGGGCCGCGGGGCTGCTCTCCCGGGCCGGCCGTCAGAGCCGCCCGGGGCTCCGCCGCTGGGCTGCTCACGCCAGCACCGTGCGGCGAGTGCGTTTGTGTGCGCGGAGTCCGGGCCGCCTCCCGGCCCCGCGGGCTCCCGGCCCCGGCTCGTTGCCGTTGTCCTCCCGATAGTTATTTGCTGCCCCACAAATAACTCCCTGATGGGGAGTCGGGACTGCCGTGCCAAAGCCGAGCCGAGCCGAGCCGGGCCGTGCGAGGCTGCCCCCAGCTCCCCTGCAGAGTCTGCGTCCCCCCCACACCCCCGCCCCTCCGAAGCCCGGGCTCGCCAGGGGCCAGCCGGGGTGCAGGGGTTGGGGGCGGGAGGGACGGCGGGGCCGGGCAAGGGCCGGGAGTGCGGGCAGAAAGGAGGGATCGCGGGAGGGACGAGTGGAGAGATGCTGGCGGAGGGGTGAGTGCGGAGAGCGGACGGAGGGAAAGCGGCACAGTGGGGCTGTGTCTCAGTCAGGCCCCGGGGCCGCGACGCTCCTCTAGCACAGCCTGGGCTCGGGGTGCACGGAGGAACCCGGCTTGGGGGACTCTGAAGTAACAGGGCCACGGCTCAGTGTGAGTGTCCGTGACCAGGGGCACCTAGCCCGGCCCGTGGGGAACGGTGCCGGCCGGGAGTCCCCTGCGAGGGAGGACGAAGGCAGCAGCCGCTGTTGTCCGCCTCCATCTCGCGTGAAGGGTCTGGGGGATGATGGGGTGCGGAGCCCAAACAGGGGAGGAGGTTCCATCAGATGTTTATTGCGGGGGGGGGTCGGGAAAGGTGGTGGAGCGGCGGGGACACGGCGATGCTCGGCTTCGAGGGCCGGGACTTCGGGGTTGCCGTCGTGGGGAACGCGCGATCGTTGCCACGCGTTGCATTCCTCGGTGCCACCACAGGCTTTTGAGCCACTGGGCTACATATTTTCGGGACGAGGCAGATGTGTGTGCCCATGGAGGATGAGGAAAAAGGAGGAGAGGTTTCCCAACCCTTCTTCCGCATCGAGCTCTTGGCGTTTTCTCACCGAGGAGCCGTTCCGGCGGAGAGACGGCGGGACACCCTCGACCTCTCCTCCCACCTGCTCGGGCGAAATGCGAGCTGTGGGGAGCAGAACCTCTGGGCTCGATCCTAACAAACACACCGGTCTTCTAGACGAATGCAGAGCCAGGGGCACGGCAGTAATGGCTAACGCCGCGTCCGGACTGGATGCGCTTTGCAGCGCTCTGCCAATGCGGAGCGGTCGAGGAACGGGACAAGTGTCCTGGGGACATCTGTCAAACGCGACCTCTGGGTATAGGCCCTTTTCGGGGTGCAGGAAAGGGGTAGACCCCGCTTGCTGCACAACGCCGTGCCACCCTCTCCCTTGGGTGGTTCTGTCCCGGCGGGGTCCCTACTGCAGGTCAGACAGGGTTAGTTTCCCCCTTCATTGTCTCAGCTCTGCCCAGCGCCGCTCACGCGTGTGGGAACCCTGCGTGTCTGCGAGGCCGGGCAGGGGATGTGCGAGGGGGGCGGTGGGGTTTCTCCCAGGGATTTGGGGTTTCGAGGATTCAGCCCCGCCATTTGGTGAGGACCTGCTCCGCTGCCCCCCAGGTGACAACGATTCCCAGCGGGTCCTCTGCTCCTGGTAGACACCGCTCAACCCCGACTCCGCTGCCCGGGCGGACAGGCCGAGGGATCGGTCTGCGCCCGGGCTGTCCCCGACGTGCGCCGCTTGCAGCTGGAGTTTTATGTAAGGAGCAAGAAAGGAGAAAGGAATAAACCTGGGAAACGGTGCGGGCAATTAAGGCAGGGACTGAAACCCCAAACTCTGCTGGGGCGTTGGTTTCGGGAGTTTTCTTGCTTTCCAGGAGGAATATTTTCTTTCCTCCTGGAGCACAGGCTGTCCAGAGCCAAGCACACCTCGGGGAAGGGGCATCAGCGTCCAGCTCGCATCAGCCCTTGAGTTCCCGGAGGCGGCTTGGAGTGCACACCCGCGGCTGCTCGCTTTCCTCCGATATTGCCCCGGGGTGTCCAAACGAAATCCCTTCCCCTCCTTCTTGTATTGCCGCCAGGTGAGCAGCGCGGTTCAGTACCGGGACTGTCTTCTCCGTGGCGTGTCCCTGAGCTCGCGACAGAAGCTGCCCCGGCCAGGAACCGCGCTGCCAGCAGCAGCAGCAGCAGCAAAGAAACAAAACAGCGATCGTGTCACGCTCTGCCCTTATGCCGTTAGCTGCAGGAACATATGCTCAAATATGTAAGAGTAGTCTAGATTTTTCTCTGCAAATATTTTTACCACATCCAAAGATAATATTTCAACAGAAGAATCAAGCCCCGCAGGCTACAGACAGGGCAGCTATATATAACCCGCTTGCTCACTCCGGCTCTCCGCGCATCGCTCGGGTTATGCAACCCCCACCGCGACGGTAGCCACCGGCGCGCCCCACAGCTCCGCCCGCCCCGTCGGGGCAATTCTCCGGGACCTCGGTGCAGCTACCCGCCCGGAGGGACCGGCACCGGGGCGCGGACCGAGACTGGTACTGGTACCCGGGCCGGGCCGGACCCGGCGGGACGGGCGCGCCGCCGTGCCCCGCGCCGATGCGAAGGAAGGGCCCGGGGAACGCCGCGGCGCTCCGAGGGGCCGGGAGCGGGCGGTGAGTAGCGCCTCGTCCTCGCCGGGGCAGGGACGGGGAACTGGGCGCGGCTCCCGGCCCAGACGGGCCGTGCAGGTGCTGCCGACGGAGCGGGCTCTCACGCTGGGCTGGGCAGGAGCTCCCCTGCCACCTCGTTCGTTGCTTTCCGTTTTGTCCGCTTTTTTTTTTTCTTTTTTTTTTTTCTTTTTTTTTTTTTTTTCCTTTTTTTTTTTTTTGGCGAAGGAAATGCTGGAGCGCTGGCGGGCGCTGGCTGGGAGTTTGGTGGCCCGGGGCTAAGGGAGTCCCATCCGAGAGAAGCGGCCGGCAGTACCTGCACCCGCTGTGCACCCTGACGTGCCCAGACCCCGCCCGTTGCGGCGGCTCAGACTGCGGGTCCGCGCGGCCACCGAGCCCCGAGGGTCGCCCCCAGCCCCGCGGTGCATGCGGGCTGGAGGAAAAGAGCAATCCCTTCTCTCGGTGCCGGACATCCGCAGCGTGACGCCGGGCTCGGCTCGGCTCGGCTCGGCTCTTCCCTTCCCGTCGGCCGGCTCCCGGCGCCGTGATTGACACCGCCGGCCCCTCCGCCCGCCCCGCAGCACATCCCATCCCTCCCCGGCGGCCGCTCGCCGTGCCCGGGAGGCGGGGAAGGGCCTCCCCAGCCCTTTGACACCGTCTCGGCAGGAGTTTCACTTCGCTTTCGCCGCCGTCGCCGCCACTTCTGCAGGCAAACACCCCCGGCTTCCATGTGACGCCTCCCAGCCACTGAATGGGGAAAGCGCCTATAAGGGAGACACTTTCCCTTCGTGCAGGAGAAAAGGAGGGGATGAGGGGGGCAGAAGCAGGAGGTGGTGGTTGAGGGGAAGGGAAGACAGAAAGTGAATTAATAAATCGCAGAGAAAGAATTGCGGGGGGGGGGGGGGGAGGGGGGTGTGAGAAATGGACATTCCGGGAAAGAAATTCGTGGGGTTATTTATTTGTTGCCCCCCGGTCCCGTCTCGCTGACTGAGCTTGGTCCGCCGTTACTGTGGTCGGTGTTGACTACAAAGGGACCCGGGGAAGTTTCTTGCTCCCCAACGCCCTTCCCGAGGGGGCAGAGGGTTTAGGTTGTTTTCTGTTTGATTTTTTTTTTTTTTAATTTCCCTTCCCCACCCCTCCCCCCCGTCTGGAAGGAGGGGGTCTCGTTCGCACCTCCCTGGATGGTGCGGTAGAAAGGAGGGGAGTAAGGGGGTGGGAGGGGGGGGCTCGTGGTGGGAGGCTGCCGCGCCTGCTGCTCCTGCATTGGTGTCTCCCCTATGGACGAAAACAGCCCTCTGTCTCCCAAGGCAAATGCTTTCAGTATCGCCTCTCTGATTTCAGTCGCCGCCGCCGAGCAAGCAGGGAAAGGAGAGCTGGAGGAGCGCCGCGGCGGCCGCAGCTCGCCCGCCCGCCCCGGCTGCCGCCCTCAAAAGATGCACTTCAGCACCGTCACCAGGGACATGGAAGGTGAGTGCCGTGCTCAGCCCCGCAGGGCTGCGCGGACGGGACCACCGGCCGCAGCGTATCCGAGGGCTTTGGCGCGGCCCGTGCCGGCAGCCAGGCCAGGGGCAGCGCACAAAACGCGGCCTGCCCGCGGAGCCGGTCGGAGGAGGCTTTGCCGTTCCTCCCGGCACGCCTGAGCCCCTGTAGCCCTCCCTTAGAGAAAGGCATTGCCCGTGGCCCGGTAGCTGCTTTCGACGGCTCCGCCGCTGGGACTCGCATCTTCTCAGAAGTGCTGAAAGCATCCCCCGACAGCGCCGGCCGTGCCTGAGGCACCGGCAGGCCGGGGCTCGGCTCCCACCGGCTCTGTCCCCACCTGTCCGGCCTGGGGGCTGCGTCGGAAATAACGCAAGAGACCCCCGGGACCTCGAGAAGCTTTTCAGCATGGGAGGGGACCCGAAGGAGCCGGCCGCTCCTCGGGCGGCCTGTCATGCGCCGCGGGGCCCTCTCGGGCCGGCGGCCGAGGGCTGCGCAGCCTCGGGCTCGTCCCGGTGCTCCTCGGCGCGGACCCGGAGCTTTGCTCTGCTCCCGGCCTCTTCCTCTTTCTCGTCCGGGGATGGTAGGAATGGGGCATTGCCAAACCAGATCCGACTTCCCCTGTTAGCCGCAGCCCTGCGGCTTCAGAGTGAAGGACGTTACCTGCAGCAGCGTAGCTACACGGAAATAAGAGCCGATTTTCTTTCTCTGCGTTTCCCCAGTCCTCTTTTTTGTTTTGTTTTGTTTTGTTTATTTTTTCCCTTTTTTTGAAGAGGGGGCGAAAGGAGGGAGTTTGCTTTGTCCCAAATGATGTGTGGCGAGGGAGGCCTGCAGAGATAGTACGGGCTTTGCACCGCCGAGGCTCTTGGCAGACCTCTCGGGTTTGCAAAAAAAAAAAAAAATTGAAGAAAAAAAAAGAAAAAAAAAAAAAAGAAAAAAAAAAGCAGCCTAGGCAGGCAGGCAGCGGGAGCAGCGAGCTCCCCGCCTGCCCCGGGGGGAGCGGGGCTGGGGCCAAGCAAAGCGGAAAGGGGGAGGCGCCCCGCTGGGCTGGGCGCGGGGCAGGAGAGGAGGCGGAGGGCACCCCGCGGAGCCGGTGCGGAGGCGGGGGCCGCGCGGAGCGGCGCGGAGCTGGGGGGAAAGCGGGAGCCGGAGCGGAGCCCTGACCGCTTGTTTTTGGAATGATTTCAGCTATCTCCAGCCCCTGGCTCACCCAGCTGTCCCATTTTTGCGATGTTGCAGCTTTCACGGCCAACAGCCTGAGCAGCCTGAACGCCTCCGGGGGGTACCACCTCTCCCCCTCCCCGGGGGACCCGTACGGACAGCATGAGCCGCCGCACTACGAACCCTGCACGGCTCAGCAGCACCCGCACCCGCCGCCCCAACCCCAGCACGGCTACCCTTTCGGCGGGGCGGCGGCGGCGGCCGGGACCAACCCGCCGCCCCCAGGCCCCGAGCAGCCCGAGGGCGCCGGTGGAGCCGCTGCCGGGCCGAACGCAGTCTCGGGCTGCTCTGCGGGGGCTGCCGCCGCGGCCAAGGCGCCGGTGAAGAAGAACCCGAAGGTGGCAAACGTGAGCGTCCAACTAGAGATGAAGGCGTTGTGGGACGAGTTCAACCAGCTGGGCACCGAGATGATCGTCACCAAGGCAGGCAGGTCAGTGCGGAGCTCCTGAGCGGCCCCGGCTCTCCAGCCGCTCCCTCCGGACCCGGGCGCCCAGGCCAGTCGGGGCGGGAGAGTCCGATGCGAGTAGTTGAATTCTCAGTTTGGGGGGAGATTGAAGCTGCTGCCCAAGGGCGAGTCGCGGAGCGGCTCGGCCCAGCGGTCGCCGTCATTTGATCCTTGCGCTTCTCCTGGGGCGAAATCTGCGAGCTCTTGCGGCCCGAAGGCCTCGGTGCTGCGGAAGAACGCGCGGCTGCTACTGCGGGCTGACGGCGAAGGCGTGCGGAGGGCGGCAGGCAGGGCACTGTGTTTCACTCTCGCTTAAAAGGGCGCTGTGCTCCTCCGGGCGCCTTCGGCTGTGACCCCACACGGGACTTCGTTCCGTGTTTACGGAGAACAGTGTGTGTTCCCTGGGCGGACAGCAACGATACGGGGGAAGGAAAAAAACAACACGCAAACCGTACAAAACCTGCTAAATACATTCTTAGCACGGGCAGATGTTTTCCTTCCGGCAGAGACGCGAACAGACCCTAATTCTGCACCCCGAAACGTGTTCTAGGGCTGTTGCATTTCCCGATTATCGAGTAAGGAGCCCGGCTGAACGCAGCTCCTCTCGGCTCTGCTCCGGCCGCCGCGGCGCGGTTCCGGGGCCAGGACCCCGCTCCTGGGCAGGGAACAAAGAAAGCGGCTGATGCGATCACGTTAGGAACGAGCAAAACATATGGGGGGAAGAGGAGTCCCAATTACAGTTGTTAGTTACTGCATTTAATGGAGATCCCCGGGAAGCGCCGCGGCCGCGGCGGTTCGGGCAGAGCTACGAGGCTTTCCCCGCCAGGCTCCGGCAGAGCTGCGAATTGTCCGGGCTCTGAGTCTTCCCTTGGTTTAAAGCGATCCGGCGGGGGGGAGAAAAGAAAAACAAACAAATTAAGGAATCCCCCGTTGCTTTTTCTCACTTCGCTTTGGGGCTGACTGCGGCGGGATGGCCGCCGCGGGAGAGGGTCGGACTCCGCTCCGAACGGTCTGGCAAAAGCTGTGACCGCGGCCGTGCGCTCCCGCTCTCCCGTCAGCGATTCTGAGGGTCCCGAAAGTGCAAAAAAAAAAAAAAACCTTACATGTACGCAGTGGCCTTTTAAGTTGGTTTTTTTTTTTTTTTTTTTTTTTTAATATTAGCAATTTCCTAAAATAAAACGATCACAGTGGTGCCCAGTGCAAAAGCAGCCGGCGCTGCGTTGCGGGACCCGGGCGGAATTTCCCGCAGACGGTGCCTGCCCCGGCGCCGGGTCGCACAGCCCGCTGTCTCCGGCCGCGGCCCCTGAGCCCGGCGCCGGGCTCGGCGTTGCTTTCCTTAGCGGAAAAGGTCGTTCAGGCTCCAGGCGGAGGCTCTCTGCAAACAGGAGTTCTTCGATCTGGCTTTTTTAGCTCTCCAGGAAGAGCGAAAGGATTGCAAATACTCTATTTCAAAATGTTTCGGAAATAACCAATTCGAATTGAATCGGGGGCTTTCCTCCCACCCTTTTCTTCTTTTACTTTATGACACAGTCGAAATTCCAGACAGGCGAGTAAAAACAGGAGAAAAAGGGGTAAAACCAGCAGGAAAAGGCTCGGGGAAGGCACTGCAAAGCTTATTCTCTTCCAGCACCTCTGGGCTGGCCCTGCTGTTCGTCTAGATGGGTCTTATCATCTCAGGTTGTTTGTTTTAAAACTAAGTTTTAGAACAAGAAACACCGGAATTTGAGCTAATGGGGGGTTTTGCACATTTAAAAATAGTAGTAACAGAGTGAGTGACTGAAAACGTCCTCCAGAGTTTGCTAAAAGCCTTACAGAGAAGGAGACACAGCCGCCCGATCCCGATGCAGCCCGGCAGTGCTGGGCCCGATGTGGAAAAGCTGCGGAGCCAGAGGCGCACTGACCCATCGGCCCTCAGAGAGGGGAAGAGGCACATAAGTGCAGGTCCAGCCGTGTGCCCCGAGAGCGAGCCGGGGGGCCTCTCTGTGTCCGGGTTTGATCGGGCTGTTTGTTCAGGGGCCGGCTGGGACTTTGGTTTTTCAATGGCTGCAAACACCCTTCCCGAAATATTGCCCATAGTCGCTCACTTGGTTTACTATTCTGTAAAACAAAATGAAGCCATAACGAGCTCCGACTCCAGGGCACACCTTCGGCACGTCCCCCCGGGGAGCTGCGGGCCAGGCCCTGGTCGCGCTGTGTGCAGCTGCAGGAGGGAAGGACGGATGGATCATCCCGGCCCCTTCCCTTAGCCCACCACCGATCATATTTGTACTGCAGCCCCTTGAAGGAATAGTGCCCTCCCTGAGAGTGGGATCCACGTTTGGGCTTAGTTTGTGTCCCCGGGGGCCTGCGCGGAGAAGAACTGGGGGAGCAGCCGCGGGGGCTGGCCTGCCCAGCTCTGGGTCCCGGGGCTCCTTTCCGCTCTCCTTTTCTTCCGCAAAGGTGCGGGGGCCGGGAGCCCGACCGGGCTCTTGCAATGAAGCGGATCCGGGACGGAGCGTTCTGGGACATCCCTGTTGCCCTCTAGCCCTTGCCCGCTGAGGGAGAGCGTTTGCCCCCCTGAGCTGGGAGAGGTCTCCTGCTGGCCCTAGGGGCTGCTGCTGTAACCACTGCTTTCAAACGGGCACAGTTTGGTGGGCACAGGTGGGAACTCAATCACCTCGTGCCGTTGGCTGGAGTTTTTAGATGTGACCCCCACGGACTGCCTGAGACTCCTGAGGCTTGAGTGCAGGTCCGCAGACAGTGTAATGCCTTGCATTTGCCTCCAGTCAGGTCAGCTAAAATGATGGGGAAAGCATGGGAAATAAATTCTTTTCACTTGGTCTCCACATAGCAAAGGCCGAGGATGCTCTTGTTCCCCCTGTCCTCTCCGTTCCATCGCGGTGGGGCATTTCGGATGTCTGACATGAAGGGTCCCGGAGCCAGTGGGAGAGGCAGGACCCCCCCGGCTCGCCTTTCGGGATGCTGCCAAGGGCTGGGGAACACGGCAACTGGTCTCCCCATGTAGCTTGGGCATATCTGCCTCTTCCCTCTGGCCAGTGGTTTCTGCGAGAGGACTTATCATCACAACTGGGAGGGTATCGGAGCAGCTGGAGGGGAAGAAACCCATGCCGGCTCCTCGGGGCTCCCTGCTGCTCCTCAACATTGCACTTGTCTCTCCTCTCTGTGCCAGGCGCATGTTCCCCACCTTCCAGGTGAAGATATTTGGGATGGACCCTATGGCTGACTACATGCTTCTTATGGATTTTGTCCCGGTGGATGACAAGCGATACCGGCAAGTAACAAATACCTGGCCTGTCTTGCGGTTCTTGGAGCCTTAGCGGCTGGTGGGTCACTGCCTACCCCTGCTCCTGCCCTCCGGGTGTTCGGGGATGTGTCCCTGGGCGTGACACTTGTCAGTGCGAGACAGGGAGGGGACACGGGATGCAGCTGACGTGGGGTCTGTTTCACACTCTTGCAATGAGTCTGGGGCCAGGAGTGTCTGCACGGGACTGCAGGGCACCCTCAGCCTCCGCACCAGGTTCACAGGTGGCCGGGGCCAGACCAGCATGGGCAGAAGGACAGCTTTCCACAGGGCACAGGGCAGGAGCTGCCTTGTCCTGCCCAGAAAAGCTCTCTTGGTCGTACTGCTACACGTCTCCACCGCCAAACACCCTTTGCCACTTAACAAAAATTCCCTCGGTGCTCCTTGAATGCTGTAGCCCCTCAGTGCATGTCCCAAAGCTGTGCTATGCCTGCTGGGTAGCTTCCTGGGTGCTTGGGTGAAGAGAGTGGGTTTTGTGTTCTGGAAAGGCACCAGCCACCCAAGCCACAAAACCCTGCCCTTGTTTCCCGCAGCAGTGTAGGAAGGCCTTGGAAACTGTCGACTCACAAGGCAGCGATGTGGTCTGGTTTGGAACCCCTTTAATTTTAAGACAGTGAAAAGCGCATTATGTATTTAGCTTCAGATCAAGACGCCGAGCAGGCAGCCCACATAGGAATCGCAGGGTCTGATATATAAATATTTAGACAGATATCCAAATTCTCAGGGCGTCCTAGAAATGTTTGCTTGTCAAGGGAAGTAGGATATATAACATCCAATTGAGTATATCTTTAAAAAGTAATGTTTCTGCTCAAGTCCAATGGTGTCTAATTCCCCCTGTGCAAACACTGGCTTTTAAAGTAAACACGTGTATAGAAGATTGGTTTCTCTGTTTTAAATGTTACTGTTGAATATGTACTTTGAAAGCATGAAACAAGACTTCTAAATTCTGAACCTGCTATTAATCTACACATAACTTTCCACTCTTCACTTAAAGCGAGAATATTACTGTATAGAGGGCTCTTTTTCACCCATTTTTTTAGAGGAAGGGGGAGGCTTTTGTGGCTTCTCTCCCAAATCTACACGGTTAGCTATAAATTTCCTCCGTCCTGCAGATCTCTCTCACGACAGTTCCATCGCCGACCTGATAGAATAGTATATCCCCTTCGCAGCAATTCTGGCTGCAGAAAAGAGCTCGTTCCTCTCGTGGCCGTAGGAAGCGGGAGTGATGGAGAGGCGGTGCTTCCCCCTCGGTGGGCCGGGGGGACCGTCCCGGGCCGGGTTCTGCGGGGCGCGGGGCGCTGCAGTCGTTCGGAGCGCCGCTGCAGGGACGCGGGCGGGAGCCCCGGGCCGCGGCTGAGGGTGCCTTCCCCTCCCGCAGGTACGCCTTCCACAGTTCCTCCTGGCTGGTGGCTGGCAAAGCCGACCCCGCCACCCCCGGGAGAGTCCATTACCACCCGGATTCCCCGGCCAAAGGGGCGCAATGGATGAAGCAGATCGTTTCCTTCGATAAGCTCAAACTAACCAACAATTTGCTGGATGACAACGGGCATGTAAGTGTTCCCGGGAGAAGATGTCCAACACGGGGCTGCACGGGGTGGGAACTCCCCGCGCTGTGATTCCCGTGGGGTGACCCTGCCCGCGCCCCTCGCCGGGGGCTCTGCCCCAGCCCCGCGGCTGTCCCGGGCAGTGGAGCCGGCAGGGCCGGGGCTGCGCTCTCCTCTCTCCATGCTCCGCCTGGATCAGTTATTGTCTCCTTGCTCGTTTTATCATTCAGATCATTTTGAACTCCATGCACAGATACCAGCCGCGTTTTCACGTGGTCTACGTGGACCCCCGGAAAGACAGCGAGAAGTACGCGGAGGAGAACTTCAAAACTTTCGTCTTCGAGGAGACGCGCTTCACGGCAGTGACCGCCTACCAGAACCACCGGGTGAGGCAGCAGCAGAGCTCGGGGCGACAGAAAGCGGGGGTTGGGGTCGCTCCGGAGGTACCATGGGTGCGGGTGCATCCGGCGCTGGCTCAGCCCCTTCGTCCGGCTCCGGGGTTGGAGGCCGGGCTGCGGGTGTCCGGCGGCGGCGGGGATGGCTGCGGGATTCCCACCCCCTCCTCCCCATCTGCTAAACCCATTCCGGGCAGCGCTAGGAACCCGATAGCCGGGGAGCTGCGCGGAACTGCACCGGTGTACGGCAAGGAGGCGACGTGGGCTCTAGCCCCATCGCCAGCTTCCCCCCGCCCGGGGGACTTCATTACCTATGTAGAGCCGAGACTGGGGCTAGTGGGGAAACTACAGGTTTCCCGCTGCGAAATGTCACTCACAATTTGTTTGGATAAATCTGCGATTTTACTTCTTTAAGCTCCTAGCGGGCTGTCTCTCCTCAGAATACAATTTTACGTTAAAAACGAAACAAAACGAAACAACACCCCCACCCCAATCTAATGCGGATCTCTGGGCAGCAGTTAATCCAATTACTCCTTTAAATCGCATCACTGTAATGTAAAGAGCAGGAATCCCAGCAGCGAGTGGAAATAGGATTTCATAGCGGGGGCTTTTCAGTGCTGCTCAGAACCGCCTCGCTCCGGGACGATGCCGCACAGGCCGGGGATGTGTCCCGGGGTTGTCCCTGAGCAACCGGTGCAAGTGTCACCCTCTGCAGTGGCTCCGAGCAAATGGACCTGAGACCTGAGGTCTCTCTGGGATGCTGCGGTCGGGCCGCACCTCGCCCCGGTGGAGGCGGCGAGGCCAGAGAAAGGCTGTGCCTTTAAGGGGCTCTGGAGTCCCTCCCCAGCTGGCATTTGCCTGATGGCTCCGGACAGCTGCTCTTTCTCTCCTGCTTTCTATCAGTTTGACCTCTAAGGCTGGAACTGTCACTGAGGGGCTTAAAGTTTGTTTTTCAACCCATTCCGGAAACTCACAATCACATACTTTATCCGTGGATTTGCTTAAATATAGAAAATGTCCTGCCTTCTCCCTGGTGAATTAAATAAATACATAAGTATGATTTATCCAGTGATTTGTCTTAACTGCTCCAGTGGTGACCCATATAATGTGGCATTTTCTTACAAGTGCATTTATTCAGCTTTTGCAGCCAACTCAAACTGCCTTTCCCTTCACCTTGAACTCATATTAGGTAGCATATTAGCCTGCATTTTCTAACAGAGGGAAAGCACATGTTTGTGCTCTGTGGCAGAGAACACCCTGGCTCCACCAGCCACCTGGATCCCCTCTGTTACACCAAGCACTGCTGAGTCCCAAAGCCTGCTCAGGGACACACTCACTGTTTGGCCAGGGAGCCCTGTGTGCTGCTTTGAGTAATTTTGCCACTTCTTCTTACAGATCACGCAGTTGAAGATTGCAAGCAACCCTTTTGCCAAGGGATTCAGAGACTGCGACCCTGAGGACTGGTAAGGATATGCCTTTATTGATTATGGCAATAACCCCACTCACCCTATTTCACATTCATCTGCCCAGCTTACATTTGCACAAGGGTTTCATGGAGGGGGACACTGTATCAGGCCCCATTTGCCAGCTGGCAGCTCACAGAAGCAATACTCCAGTTGCTCATTCTGTTGGACCATCAACTCTGTATCACTTCTCCCCTTCCTCTTCCAGGCCCAGGAACCACAGGCCAGGGCCTCTTCCTCTCATGAGCGCTTTTGCCAGATCCCGGAATCCAGTCTCTTCCCCAGCCCACCAGAATGGGACAGAGAAAGGTGAGAGTCCCCAGTGGCCAGGCCAGCCCATCTCCCAGGCCTTGTTGGCCTGCACAGCCCGTGCATGCATGCTTGAGGCCAGCCTTGCTCACCAAGGTGCTGCACAGCCCCATTGCTAATCAGCTTTGTGCTACCACTTATTTTTTAAAGAAAAATACCTGCCTTCATAGCCTAATTAATTCTTCCTTGGACTACAACATTTACTGTTGTTGTGTGCTTAAGAAAACTTGCTGCTTTAAAAAACACTGTCCCTTGCCTTTAGAGTCCCATTTTCGACTTTTTAGCAACAAACTCAGCTTTTTCAGGCAGAGATGCAGTGCTGGCCACAGGTTCCCTCTCGCATTGCCCTTTTAATGCGCCTCGGCAGTGCGCTTAGGGCCAACCCACTCCATTCAGGAGCTGCAGTCAGGTCGAACAGCACCTCTGCCCATTGACTGCTTTTCCATTACCCAGAGCAAACAAGTGCAAAGACAACCGAAGGCCTTTCTTCCAACGCACTGCGGGTCTGCAAAATAAAGGGAAGTCTGTGTTTGTTTAGTGTTACACAATTGCAAAAATGTCAGGCGTGTACTAGCTTGTCAGTCAACTCAACTCCATTTATCGCAGTCAGAGGTCCCGTCCCGCCAGCCCCGTTCCTGCCGCAATGCCGCTGCTGCCCGCCCCGCTCGCAGCCGCGCTCTTCCCTTCGCGCGCCTCTTTCCCGCGTGTGCGGGTGCGCGTCCCGCGGGCGCGGCCGCACTGACTCCGTTGCCCCCGTAGATGCTGCCGAGAGCCGGCGGGAGTTCGAGCGGGAGGCCGGCGGGACGGCGCTGCACCAGGCCGAGGCCGCGCACCAGCAGCTCATGTCCCGCGTGCTCAGCCCGGCGCTGCCGGGCGGAGGCGGCGGGCTGGTGCCGCTGGCCGGGGCGGGCGGCGGCCGGCCCAGCCCGCCGCACCACGAACTGCGCCTGGAGCCCGCCGCGTCGGAGCCGCTGCACCACCATCCCTACAAGTATCCGCCGGCGGCGGCCGCCGCCTACGACCACTACCTGGGGGCGAAGAGCCGGCCCGCCCCCTACCCTCTCCCCAGCATCCGCGGGCACAGCTACCACCACCATCATCACCACCACATGAACGCGGCGGCCGCGGCGGCGGCGGCTGCCAACATGTACTCGCCGGCAGGAGCACCCGCCGGCTACGACTACGGGCCCCGGTAACGGGGCACCGGCGGCACGAGAGACACCGGCCTCCCCCTTCCCGCCTTTCCCCCACCTCCCGCCTTACGAGTGAGCTGATTGGCCAGTTTGACCTGATGGACAACCAGACAGCCCAATCGCCGGCAGCCGGGCCCCGCCCCGCGCCCCGCCCTGTGGGGGCTGTGAGGGCGGCGATGCCGGGAGCTCCATCGCGGTGTGACCCGCGGCTGCACTTTGATAAATGAAGCCATATGTCCTTATCTCCCTTTCCCCCGCGCCTCCGTTCGTGCCGGGCACCGAGGACCGTCGGGCGGCTGGGATGCGGTGGGAGGACGGTGAGGCGGCAGCGGTGAAGTGACTTGTCCCCTCTCACTCGCCCGCCGGGTCTTCTGAGGGAGGTTTGGTGTTACCGCCGGCGGGGGCGGTGCCCGCGGGCCCTGTAGGTGAGCACCGAGCAGGGGCTGTGGGGCCGGCCCTGAGCCAAGTGTCGTCCTGCACTTGTCGGTGTCAGCCCTTCCCAACCCGGGGCACACCGAGGGCTGGTTCACAGGTGGCTCAGCTGGTTGTTTGAGGAGACTCTTGGGGAAGCAGAGTTTAGTTTAAAGGAGTGCTTTGAATCCTTACTGCCAGAACAAATTTCCCACTTCTCCTCTGGCCCTGACCCATTCGCAAGTTTTGGGGTTCACTGGGGTGCCTTAGCCATAGCATCATTTTCTGGTGCTGTTGAGAAGGCCAAGAGCACAGCATGTTCAGCTGTGTTTGCATCTTGTTTTCCCAACAATACCTGCAAACGTTTAAAAACCAGCCTGTGGGTGGGGGAATATCTGCAGATTTCAGGCTGTGTGTTTCCCACATGCTTCTCAGGGAGCCTCACACAGTTCTGCCTTCCTGCATCCTTTCCTGAGCTCTTGAATACTCTCTCATGGAGGTGCCTTTTAAAGGGACTTCAGGGTCTTTTTCTCAGACTGGCTCACCCTTTATATTTGGCTGACCCAAACTCAAGTAGTTCTAAAGCATCTATTCTGCATTACCTGCTTGCTGCATCTTCCCTCTTAATGCTGGTAAGTACTTTTTCTTTTTCCTTTAGTGTCTTCATTCAGTAGTCGTTCCTTACTGCTAAAAAGATGGCCCTGTTCATCAGAGTTCTCCAGTGATGTTTTTTTAATAGTTGGTTTGTGTTTTGTTGGATGCTCACCGAAGGCAGTCCCTTTGTGTTCAAAGAAGGTATTGAGCAGCTCCTCAGCTGTGTTGGTGTACAGTATTATGAACACTTTCCTAATTCTTCCACATGAATCCATTGAAAGATGGGGGTTGTTTCTTTTAAAGTCATCTATTCATCCATGTGCCTTTTTATTCACAAACTCTTTAAAACATGTTCTTTCCCTGGTGCAGGTGGCAGTGTTAATAGCAATGTTTATTTTGTCTCTGGCAGTGGGCTTTGAGCTTCCAAAACCTTTTTGGAAAGGTTTAAGAAGGGATACAAGCTACCATGAATATTTTATGTAACTTTTTTTCTGTTAAAAAATATATCTGGATCCATAAAAAAAAGACTCGTGCAAGAAATATGTATTTTATTTGACATTTGCAGTGAATTGTGAGATTCTTAGTGTCTGACTAAAGCATAATGTTTTCAGAAAGGTTGATGTAAAATAGCTTTGTGCTTATTATTAGTCAGTGGGAAATGGCTCTGGGATGTGCTCTGTTGCTTTGCCGCTGTTATTTCAGAATTTTCAGTATGATTTGTTATCTGTAAACTGATTAGTGCCAAAGCTTTGGTCAAATGTTTAATGAAGTTGTTATATTTATTATTTCCTTCAAAGATTATACAAACCCTTTTTTTTTTTTTTCTTGATAGTTGCAGTGTAGGAAAAAAGTGAAGACAACCAAAGAATCATATCTGCAAAGTGTAGATACATGTAGATATTTGTAGATATATGTAGATAATCTTATTTCAATTGAAAAGACATTGGACAGTGACATTTATAAATATTTTTCCTCTTCTTTCTTTCCTTCATTTCTTGTTTGATTATTTGTGTATATTTGTCAGTTTGTCTGCCCTGAAATCTAAGCTCCCCCTACAAAATGCAGTTATTTAAATAAGGAGAGTTCTTAGTCTGAGCAAACAGTGACTCTCCACAGGTGATTGCTCCTTCTCTTCTGTCCCTGGTTGCCACAGGTGCCCATGGTTGTGGTAATCTATCACAATACAACAGTTTGCAAGGCTGGGGCTCCCAGGTGAAAACAGATCTGTTTGTAATGATAAGCACCTGTTCTCTTCAAACACACATAGAATGACCCAGGGTGCCAGGACTAAACTGTGCCCTTAATGAAAGTGGCTCAAGATCCTTGCCTTGATTGTAGGAATTTCAATTTTATATTTGTTAGAAGAAGATAAAATCACAGAACTTCAAGCTGTGGGTAGTGGGCCCTCAGGATCACTGTTCTGTGTTCTGTGCTAAAGAACCACTGCAGAGGTCCTGAGGCTGACTGGGAAGGAGAGCATGCAGCTACAGTCTGAGAAAATGGTATTTCTAACCATGCATTTAGTCCATCAGCATGCAAGGTGCTTAGACATGTTCACATTAAAGCATGTTAGCAGTCCAGTTCATGTTGTGTTTTAATCCTTAAATCAAGATTCTTCAGGGCTTTGACTGGTGTCCCTCCTTCCATAATAATGTCTGTCTCACTGGATGGGAGTGTTACAGATATGGAAAGCAAAAAGGGTTATTTTTCTATCCCAACAAAAAATCCACTTCAAATAAACAAAACCCCATATTGCTGCAGATTGACTAGTAGAAGGGTTTCGAAAATCACAGAAAAATTTGTAACACTCTAATGTCATATTACCTGTCAGCCTGTTAGTCAGGATATGTCATGTATAGGCTATGCATTATCTGTATATTGTAGATTCATTTGACAAATGACTTTGTATGATTTGGTTACATGTCTGGTTAAATTTCATTCAGCCATGCTGTCACCAAGGTCCATGGCACATTCTAGGAAAGAAGGTGGCCACTTTTCCAGGCAATACTTCCACTTGTGGTTTCCTCAAGTCACACAAAGCACTTACACATAAAGTGTGTTTAAAAGCTGCTGTAAAACAGGCCCAGGTGTGGAAGTTACAAGCATCCTTTGTCCTTTCCAAATAGGGCTGGAGACTAAATTAGCCATCTAGCTCTATTTTCTAGAGGTACAGGCTGAGTTCAGCGATTGCTTCTGAGGTCTGAAAACCACATCGCCTAGCTCAGTGGATAAATCCAGGATTAGTTCCTTGTTCCATGCAGGTGGAACAAGGGTGGCCTTTGCTTAATCACTTAACCCAAATACTGGGGACAGTTGCAGTTTTCAGAAATGGCTTTCTGCATTTGATTTTATTCTATCCTTGCTAGTGGAATTGACTGAATTAAATGTAGGATAGGAACATGGGGATGAAACTCCTGTGTGTTTGCAGTGTTCATGCACACTCTTTACACATTTCACAGATGATCTCTTTAGTCTTTCCTTCTCTTTAGGGAGGCCCTATAACTCTCTGGCTAGAACTGTGCAAGTAGTCCCCAGCAGCTGCCTCTCAGCATCCTGGGGTGCTGGCATCTCTTCAGCCAGTCTCAAGCACACGTACAAGGACTGTAGTAGGTGTAGAAAAGGTGTTCTGCATGCAGCAGCTGCTGGGGGACAGTGAACCCATGAGCTGTGGGCTTCTAGAGCATCTCTACATAGAGCTGTGGCTAGTGGGGCTACATGGCTTGGGGCCACCTCGGCTGGGGCACTGTCCTTTCCTGCCAAGCATTCCTCCTTCTCTCCAGCAAGTGGATTTCAGCCTGTGATGCTGGATCCCTCACCAAAGGGCAGTTGTACCTTGATCTGTCTGGAATAAGAAAAGCAGGTTCAGTCGTGCTGTGTAATGTTCTGCCTATGTAAAGGGATCCCTGTAGCCTCTAGAAACAAGTCAGGCACCCACAGGTTTGGGCTGGGGGGCAGAAGCTGAGCCCTGCTGCCTGGAGAAGGCTGGAAGAGCAAACGCAGCAGTACCTGCAAAGCAGGTTTCAGCATCATTACCCAAAGAGCTCAAAAAGCTGCCGCGAGCCTGTTGAACACGGCTGGGCTGGAAGGTGGGAGAAGAGCGTTTGTGTGAACAGACACGTGTTGGTTCTTGGTGCTTTGCCTTCTGTCGTTCGCTTTCCTGATAGGTTGAAACCAAATTCTGCAGCGCGTTGAGACCGCGGGTGCTTTGGCCTGACCCGCGGTTTGTGTGAAACTGCCGCTGTGGGCAGAGGCACACCCAGCGTGTCCCGAGGGTCACCTCGGAGGGTCCCCGCGGGTGTCGCTGCCCCGTGGCCGCGGTGGAGGAGGAGGAAGATGCTGCGCGCACCCCGGCCGGCCCTGCCTGAAGAGCCGGCTCCCTCCAGAGGGAAGAGCCGGGCATGGCACGCGGTGGATTCGGCACTCACGGAAAATTAAAAGGGCTTCATCTTCTGGAGCTGGGAAATACGCGATGAGCGGAAAATATAGATTAGGGGATTAAAGGAAAGATTTTATCTTTGAAACACTCTAGCATAAATGAGAAGGGGCAGTCTCCTGTGAGTTACAATTTGAGGATACTCAGCCAGCAATGGCTTAGCCATTGCTCTAAGCTGGTGTTATTAAGAATCCACTCTGCATGTGTAGAGGCCAGTACTTGTGTATGGATGCAACGTTTTTCTAAACATAAGCATGTTTTTCTTCATTTAATCATTCCAATTGAATTGATTGCTAAGATACATAATTTACATAGGTATCTGACAAATCTAGGTGAAAGTTTTCTATTATTGCCATTATCATGAGCTCAGCATGTGCATATAAAATGTGCTGTTACAGTGAGATGCCTATTGTCAGTGGGAATCTAGATAGTGTATCAGAGGTTTGAGATTTGCAAATCTCAAAGAATAGTATTTAATACTTTTTTTCCTGCCTGGTATGCTGCATACACAGTCAATGCAAAAAGGAAGAGCTGTTTTTGAAGACACACGTTAATTTTGAAAAACACAGACATGTCCCATATACCACATGTATGTACATGTACAGGTCTGCTCTCCAAAGGCCCACTGTCCTTCAGGAGGGCTGTGTAAGGCATTTTGTGTGTTGCATATGCCAGAAAACCCACCCTCATTCCCCCCATTAATAGAAATGACCTATTATAAATTTACCAAAGATACCGTAGTTTTATAAATTGGCCACATATGTCTGGGTAATATATTTATTATATCACATTTCACAGCATTTCTGTTTTATGAAATTCAGCCTTGAATTTGTCACATATGTTTTGCATATATGTGCAATAGTTGGCCAAGTATATCCAAGGAAAGTATGATAAATGTGTTCTTTCCATATGGGAAATTAAATGTTTTTCCAGATTTAAAAAAAAAAGTTTATTAAGAGCAGCCTATACAAAATAATTACAATAAATCACTCACTTCTATTTAGGTTAAAATTATAAATTTGGACTAGTAATAAAGTGATTAAGAACAAGAGCCAGAAAAGTCTCATTTAGGACCTAATTCTATAAGTAGATGGAGCAGCATAGATAGAAGAGGCCCTAGACATTCTCAAGGCTCGCTGCTCCATGTTGTGACATCCTGCAGGGCTGCAGAGCAGCTTCCACCTCCTGCTCCCAGTGCAGCTGGAGCTGCTGAAGGACAGCCTCCATCCCCTCTGTGAGAGCAGCATGGTGAGAGCGAGTGACCTGAGACATCCGCTCCAGCCTGGGTCCTGCACCTCTGTGAGCAGTTCTGGTGCTCTCTGGAGAAGGAAAGGGAATGTTTTCCTGCAGTGTAACCTCCTCCCTGACGCTCCTTCTGGCAGCCAGCGGGTGCTCCAGTGGGCAGGGCAGGACAGCTCAGGTGCCACTGCTGTGCTTAGTGCCTGCCTTCACAGGAGTGACTGCACAGGTGCCCAGGGACTCAGACTGATGTCCTTGGGCTTTAAATTGCAAAAAAGTGAAAAATGGAATAAACAACATGTAAAACTTACAGAGGCACCTTGGTGTGAGGTGTTAGCACTATTACTTTTGTCACTGGTTTTAGCTTGGATGATGGACATTTGTCTTTTGCTCCACTTGCTTCGTGCTCCCACTGTTCCTTGTTCCAGGGGGCAACGCTTCCCCTTGTCGTGGTTCTCTGGCCTGGCTGCTTCAGCTGCCCTTTGTCTGGGGCGTGAGCTACAACCATGGGCAGCAAGAACCAGCATGAGAGTGGAGGGGCTGCAGGCAAAGCCATCATCTGGAAAGGCCAGAGGAGGGGTGGGAAGAGGCAGCCCTTCTCCCAGGCTGGTTCTATTTGAGCACTGCCTTGCACATTTATTTCAGCAAATATGAAGTGAGTCTTTCATTCTATTCCCTTTCCTCCTTGTCAACTACTTCAAACCAGATGAGCTCAAGAGATAAAACTATAAATACTCAATGTCTCTATTTAGCAGGATGCCAAGTCTGCATGCCATCAAAATATCTGAGGCAAAAAAATCTGAACAGACAATACTTACTCTAAGTGTTATGTTAAGAGCAGCCTAGATGCTTTTCCATGAACACAAACAATGCTTTCACGAATCACTAAGATTTTGTATCAGCAATTTTTAAAATTACCATCAGGACAAGTGCCACAGCCACATTCTCTGTCATGTTAAAAATTATTCTGTAGGCCCAGTGCACCCACTGCCTTCTTACCTATGTCAGAACATGTTTATATCAAGCAGTGCCATGGGGGCTTGGAAAATGTACTTTTGCATGTGTGAGATACCAGAGCTATGAAGCAGAATAATGGCTCAGCATTTGAGCATGCTTGCTAATTTCCTGATCTGGACATAATCAGGATCAATCAATCCTGCCACTGGTTGGCAAAAGAGACCACTGCTGTCCAGAAAGCATCTGAGGATTTCTATGTTTTTTTGCTGCCCTAGCTTATATATACTGAGAATAAAAACTAGAAGGAAACAGCTGTAATCTCAAATAAATTTAACAGCCTTTTTTATCCCTTTTTTTTTTTTAATAATTGTAACAGAGAATTATTAGAATCGATATATTTTTTACTGCCATGTCACTCTCCTGTGAGGAGATATTTAATACTGCAGGGTGGTTCTCCTGCAGTACACGTGGCTGCTTCAGGTCCTCAGTCCTTCCCGCTGCTATCCTCTGTGGCACTGCAGCTTCTGGTTTTATGACTCTTCCGAGCAGAGACATAAATACACCCTCCTCTGGGTGAACACAGGCTTATTTAGCAGTGTAGATTGTGGTCCACAGGATTTCCTACTGTACTGTCACCTTTAAAAAAGGATGCTGGGGAAGTAAAACCAAGTATGTCTGAGACAAAAATAAGCTGGTGTATGAGTAGGCCAGACCTATCACTATATGGTTCCACCAGGTACTCTTCCTGCCATCCTTGTCCCTCTCCCATGGACAATCTGGCCACTGCTGGGGTTTGCTTCAAGGCACTTCATACCTTCCACAGTCTTCCTGTCACCTAACTCAGAGGGACAAGTTGCTCCTTTGTTTTGATTTACCCCTTCACTTCCTCTTTCTCCTTCTCTTACAAACCAAACTGCAAATCAAATTTCTCTGAGCTCAGAATAAAGCAGTACACAGCACTGCTCATAGGATATACAGCTGTGGTTCACTAATCAGGTGAGCAAAACTTTCCCAACTGAGAGATTATATTTTCATTTAATTTGATACTGTGAGACCCTTACATGAATTGCCATGTCGCCCCCACACACAGTATGATCTTAATTTTGGATAGCTTCCTTCACATTATAGAAGAAACCTCCAGGATGCCCCAGAAGAGTAGGACATAGACAAACACAGCCAAGTTTACTTGGAAAAGCTGTAGTAGGGGGACCCAAGCTGGAATTTCAGAATATTACACATTAGCAGAAACCCCCTTGCTTTTCTCCTTAGTCATGGTTGATAGTTTCCTGGTAGCACAATGGTCATGCTTAAACATAAAACTTTAAACATCAAACTCAGCGCTGCCATAACATTGTGTGGTATTAATCCAGGCAGTCATGTGCCATGTTTTATGTAATGATCCACACTTTCACACCACAGACACACAGCCAGAAAAGGAAACACATTGATTTAGCACTCAGTAATCCTTGTTTAATCCCCAGTCCTTTGGTTTACATCACTAACATGGCTCCTGCAGTAGTCAGTGTTCTATCTTTGTTCGTGACAGACTGAATTAAAGGAAAGATTTATTAATTTGCAACTTGGCTTTGTAGATGCATCTTAAATATGCTAAAAACAAAAGCAGTCCAGCAGACAGTATTGGCTTAACTATAAAAATCTGCTCTTTTAAACTCAAACCTTTTCAACAGTCCAAGTCAAGCTGCAGAGTAATTTTTTGGCTTCCTGTAGCAATTGCATTCTAAAGGACTAAATTTAACAACTGTCTCACTGCATGCCCTCAGCTTACTTCCTTTTCACTCATTACTACAAACACAATCTCCTCTTTCCTTGCTCATCTGCATTAAGGACTGCAGAGTTTTATGGCTCATGCACTGATAAGAGAAAGGAGTTGTAACTAATGGATTAATTTGCAAATAATGTTAGAGGGTCAGAGATCCCATTCATGCCAGTGGTGATAAATATTCCATGTAATTGCTGCACAAATGCTGGTGTTTGGGATTTATTTTACGAATGCTGGATGCTTTCTTCCCTCTCATGGTGCCAAAGACGGTGATTCTTTGATTCTTAGGAGGAAGCCTTTTGTAATAATTTAGCTGTCATCACCTTCACTCCTGAATCCTCCAGGCCAGGTACAGGCTAGCCCTGTTCCTTTCTGGCAGGTGAGATTTCAGAGCTAACTCCAGCACCTTAAGGTGGCTCTTTGCTCACAACCTTCTGCTAGCAAGTCAGTGGAAATCTTGAGTGACAACCATGCTCATGGCACAATTGTAATTTTTTTTTTTTTTTTTTATTTAAAAAATGTTAATTTCTTAGATGCAATCAGACATCTGTATTTTACAGTTACAGTTATAATCAGACAATTGTGTTTTACAGCCTATACTGATACAGACTGTCTTTCCTATTGGAAACCATTCTTCTTTGGGGAAGTCCAGGTTAGTTTCTTAGGCAAATAAACTGTTAGAAGACTGTAATTCACGATCAAACTATGGCATTTAAGCTCAGCTCTAAATCAAACTAGTGTAGTCTGGTTGCTCATTTCAAGGAAACTAAAATGTGAAAAAAAAAAATCTGTTTTCTGTGTGGTTAAATAAAATCAGCAGTGATACAAAGCGTTAATGAAATAAGTGTATTGTGAAAAAGTATGGCATGGGTAGTGCCTTGGATGCGTGTGTTCCTGCAAGCAGCCCTGCAACCCATGTCCTTCGTTCTGAAGCTGATGAAGCTCTCACCTGTGTGTCTGAGATACAGTTCATGTCCTCATTTTCAATTTTTACTTGTATGACTAAGTTTGTTTTTAAATCTACCTCATCTGACAAACATAAATATTCAACTCCCAGCAAAAGGTAATGTTAGATGAAAGCACCCAGTAATCTTTTAGAGTATCTTCCAAAAGCCCTATTCGTAAATCTAAACATCCCTTATGAGTCTCCATAATTACTTTAGCTACAGATGTTGACAGGAAATGGCAATTTTCAGAGAAAATATACTCAAGAATTCCTAACTTGCAGCCTCTGATCTAATAATGCTCTTAATAAAGCATTAATCCTTCTTTCCAGAGGGGTGCCCTGCCAATGCCAGAGTATTTGCATCAAAAATTGTTTCTTACAGTAACCATTTGCCCAGGATGGGTGAGCCCTGGATCTCCTTTCCTGCTATTAAACCTACAGCTCAGTTCTGTGGAAGTGCAGGCTGCTGTTTGCTGCCATGGAGGAGGAATGCTGGTACCCTCTGGGCCACATGTGTGATGTTGTACCAGACAGCACAGGCAAAAGGAAATCTCTGTGCAAACTTCCTTGGACAGGCCCTGGACCACGTGCAATGACACATTCTCCATTTCTTTATTTCATTGTTTCTTTGTGTCAATTCTGATGTATTTTGAGAAAGGATTCTGATGTATTTTGAGAAAGGGGAAAAAGACCAAAAGAAAAGATTTCTTGCAGCAGCAGGTTTGTGGAGGGTGACTGCATCTCATTCCAAAAGGCTGAGGCTGGAGCTGCCTGTACAGTGGGGGCAGCTCCTCTTCTGTGTGGGAGGTGGATGACGGGTGGAGACGTGCAACTCTGTCTGGTAGATGTAATGAACACCACCACCTCCCCTTGACTCGGGATCACACAAAATTAGGCTTTAACTTTCAACTGCAATGTGATCCTCCATGCAGCTACTGAATAGTAAAGAAATAATCAAAGAAATGCATTATTTAAAGTGTCACCACACTTCAAATAATATGTAAGGCCACGTTTTATTTAGAAAAGCCTGGCAACAGTATCCTTGTTCTGTGTTTTAATGTAAGAGCATCAGGCTGGGTGCTTAAGGCTTTCAGTCCAGCAATATTCTCTGTCTGCAAGGCACAGCTGGATAACAGACGCAAACCTTAATTTGCATGCGTGTTTTTCCTAAAATAATTTTCAAAGTCTTTGATGTTGCTGTTCACTTTTGGTTTCTTTTTCTTTGATTTCCACCTCTCTATGGAGCAGAAACAGTTATTTCCAATAAAGTATCAACAGTGCACAGTCTGGACACAGTTGTCACTGCAGCTTTGTGACAGAATCCAGCAGTACCCTGGCTCTTAGCACACTGGTGTGTGTCTAATACACTTTAGAAGAAGGCAAATGCTGCTTTGTGAGTCAAACAAAAAAACTTAATGAATGAATTTCAGTTTCCATGACTGCAGAGATGACAAATTAATGGAACCATTCGCAATGTGTGGATAAGGATTTACCCATGTGATTCCCCTAAATATTTATGGGAGCTGTGCAGCTGAAACCCCAACTTTCCATGCTGAAACTTAGCCCCGACTCTCCAAGGAGAAGGGCGCTAATTGGATTGTCGAGTTTAAATCCTTCAGCTCATCAGTCTATGGAAAGGATTTAGCACTGGCTCTGTAAAAGGCTTTACACAGCTTTGCAGTGCAGTGTTGGGGAAGATTTTTTTCCTTTCTTTCTTGTGATTAATTGTGAGGCTTGAGGTGACAGGAGACATAATGAAATTCATAAATGCCGAAGGCCATCCCTAGCACATTCCTGGCTGTTGGTTTAAGTTAGAAACTGACAGAAGTGTGAACAAATCAAGGGTGTTCTGATAGCCTTTCAGTTACGGGGAAGAAAAAGTAACTGACAATGAGAAACCACTGGAGGTGGTTTAATGGGTATAAATTTTCAAGAAAGAGTGATGTTTTACACTGATTTAGATTCTTAAATACATAAATGACTTACAAACAGACATATTCTGCCCCCACTGCAGTTCCAGGGATTCCAGTCCATTATTACAAAAGATATTGGCACAAGTTATGTCAGCAACCTGCCAAAGGAAAGGTGTTGCAAAACCTGTAGCAGAACCCAAGGCAACTTTGGTCTTTGTGACTGGCCTTGTTCTGCTTGTTATGAATTTTAAAAATCCACTTTCCTCTATGGAAGACAAAACTTACAGCTTAAACAAGCATCATAAGAGATAACCGAGGACTCTCCAGCCTGGAGACAGATTCTACCACTTCCCCAGATGCACATTTGAATTACAGTGCTTGGAATTGCTTCACCAGTCCTGTTCTCCTAGTCCATGGCAGTGCAGGATGTGTCATGTCTGAGCATATATGGACCAGACACTGATGCGCTGATCTTTGGAGCCAGCTGCCAGCAGTCTGTCCCGGGGGTTGCTGTGATCCGAGAAGGACACGCAGTGGACGGTTGCTGTGTGATAGTCCAGCACTGCTAAGGGCTTCAGCTTTTTCCACCCAAAGATCCTGATGCGATGGTCCCACCCTGCTGTTGCCAAAATCTTCTTGTCTGGACGGATGGTGATATCAGATATGCCGGCATTGACAAGTTCGTGTGTTTTGTAAACCTTTAGGAAAAAGTTACAAATGAGCTCTAGTTGTTCAAAACAGAAGAAAAAGGAATCTTTCGGTACTTTAGCAGGTGTTGTGCCCACCCAACACACCAGTGTCACACAGGGAGCATGGAGCTTTTCACCATGTGGTGCTTGGTGAGAACGACAGACAGAGACAGAAAACACCTTAACTTGAGCCTCCCATTTCCAGAGAAATTTTCACCAAATAAACCAAACTCTTGTATGCTTTTAGTTTATTTTGCATTTAAAGCTATATATATTCTGTCACAAGTGAAGCTGTGAATCAAGGTTTTGAGTACAGATTTGCCCTTTTCTTCAGCTATTCTTGTATGACCTGCAATGTTCAGAGATAAGGCAATATATTTTCCCTGCTTCTGAATATTGCCAGGCTGAGACCCTTCTGAGCTGATGCTTAAGCTACATGCTACTAATTTCTACTACTGTGACCCCTCACAAAACCTCCAATAAGCTGTTGTAGTATTTACCTCAGTCTTGAGAAAGGAATGCTTCCAGGAATTGGGTTACAGTGTCAGGAAATCTGTATTTCTAGTACTGCTTCCCAAGAGACTTCTATTTACACCAAATCCAAGGAGGGGATTATAGCCAAGTTATTGATTTCAGTCTTGGAAGCCTTTTGTTACTCTTTGGAGACTAAGGGGGCACAGAGGGGCACAATTCAATTGGGAAGCATTTGGCTTCCTTCAGGAGGCACTGGGGCTGCACAGGACTTAGCCCCTGGAAAGAAGAGTTTTCACTGACATGAGTTTCTCTTGAGGCACAAAGCTCAAAGTAACACACCTTTGCTGTTCTCACCTCAGCTACCTTGTCTGAGTGAGCAGTGTGCCTCTGAAACACATGTGGAATATGCACACAAGAGTGTGTGTGTGTGTGTGTGTATTGGAACAGCTCAGCTTCTCTCAAAATGGGGAAAACACCTTTGGCTTAGAAAGCTGGCCCTGACCTGTTCTTTGTAACTACCATTGGAAACAACACATTACTGCCACTGTCTCCTTAAGCCTGAGTCTGTAGCTATCCTGTACCAAAGCTTAATACCATCCAGTGCCTGTTTTAATTCACTGGGTCGTGTTTACTGTTTGTCTGAGGCAGGAAGGGATTGACAAGTACATCACACCTGAGGAGCTTTCCTCCTTGAAGGACATTCCATGATGCATACCTAGTACAGGGTTATAAAGACATATTACTGCAGATAATTTTAACCTTTATACTGGATGTAGAAAACTCCTGAAATGTTGGTCAAGGTTGATTTCAGATGCAGCTGAACAAATCTTGGAATCTTACAGGCATAAAGCCATATGCAATTATTTTTCAACTATATAAGAACTGCCTAGCTACCTACTCAAACAGCAAGAGCTGTGCAGTTTGGTAAGACAAAAGGTTGAATTAAATTTGACATGCTTCTTACATGCACTATACCTTTATTTTTCAAAGACAACCTGAAGAATGTGTCTACGACAAACAGAGGACAGCAAGTTTTGCTCAAGCCTAATTAGAAATAGCAGGCTATATGGGGGCCTCTTGGTGGGGCTACCTGTGCTTTTTGTTAATACATGTGCTCCAAACTCCCCAGGGTAGGCCTAATGCAGCATGGCCTCAGTGGCATTTTTGTTGGTGTAAATGTCCTGGCAATGGAAAGATTTATTCCTTACATCACCAGCCTGGCAAATGTAGGATGGGCCTTACTCCGTAAGTGAGATTATTAGCTAATGGCTATAAGCAATCCCAGGTGTGGTGCTGCCATCATTAATGTCAATTATCTGGGCAAGATCCATACAGCACAATCGGGGCCACTGGAGAAATGGCATCTCCTCAGCAAGCTACAACTTGAAAAGGAAGCCTGTAATGCCTATGGAACATGAGGGAACAGTAGGCATTTGTACAGGATCTGCAAATACAAGAGTGAGAGAGAAAAGCAACACAAAGGAGAAAACTTGCTCAAGGTATATGCAGCCAGGTGTAATTGTACTGCCAGGATTTGTGCCATCCCAGGACTTACTACAGTAAGTCACTAACTACAGGAGTCCAATACCAACATAATTTCCTAACCAGAAAATCAGCTTGTAATTTAGAAAACAAAGAGGTAAAAACAGGTGAGCTGCTTTCAGCCAGTCACAACCAAGGACACTTGCATCTACAGCCAAAGCATGTCTTTAGGCCCTCTGCTTATTAGGAAAATAACCAAAATAGCTGCAGACTAAGCCTCAGAATTTGGGGGAAAAGCCTCAGCAACTAAATCAACAAAACTTACATTACAGCTTGCAGAATTTTTTTCTCTTGTCATATAAAGAGAAGCTTCTATGGTTATCAGATTTCTTAGTTCTGCTTTGTTTATTCACCTGCAGAAGCTGTTTACCTCCTACATCTACCACAAACATCATCACATAATTACACTATCTCATCCAAATCAGAAGGCTCATAACCAATCCCATCATTTGCTGACAGTGATGAATTCAGCAACTTTCCTGTAGGAGACAATACAACCTTTCCTCATAGCAATAAACTGCAGTTACCTTCATCATCTATTCATTGACACACTGGAACACTGCCACTTAAAACAGAGCTGCAGTACCATCATTGCATCATTCCCCCTCCAACGGCAGATATCTGTGCACCACGGTTACTTATTAAAACCTTTTCGAATAAAAATAATGTGCCACTGAGTGGCTTTCCAACGTCTACCATTACCTCAGGTACTTGGAATGTCAGGGAAAAAAATCCCCATCTGGTTTATATTATTAATGCAATAGTGGAAAAAAACTTAATCTATGTCTTTGACAATCTCATAGTGCTCATATGAAAGATGCTTTTTTTTAGGGCATTCATGCTGCCATGAAGAACAGGAATATTGCTTGTAGCTCATAATACTTGGCATTTGAATTTCTTCTGAGGCAACCTTCTATCTCACAGTGTGAGGTGCTGAAGGTGTAGCTAATCTTCCATTCCCTGGGAATGGGAATACCTTGTGGAAAACAATACTTGCAATATTTCAGGTGAACAACTGTTTCTCCTGCAAGTTGTACCTGTAGTCCTGTGTACCATTAGCACCTAAGTGAAATGTGCTGTAAAGAACAGTATTTGCTTTTATTTTAGGAAAAAAGTGTTGCTATAATTAATATGAAAGAACAACTTTCTCTCTACCACCAGAGTATTTGAAAATTTAAGAAGCCTGTCATGATGTCAGAGTTCTGCCACCTTTACCTTAGAGAAAGAGTCTCAATACCAAGTTTCATACTGGGATTGCTCACCTTCCTTCCACTTCCCTTAGTTAAGGACACCTGGTGCGGATGGTGACAAGCAGGAGGAGGCTGGGCAAGGGGAGGGCAAACAGGACCAAAAAACAAGACAACTGTGTATCAGACATCTTCACTACTTGTTCAGAGTGCAGAGTGCCTCTTTCATGTCGTGTTGCACTGTGTATTAAGGTTCAGCCACCTCCTCAGTGGGTGCCATGTCCCCCAAACTTCACTGGGATTGGATGAGTTTGCCCTGCCACCCCAGAAATGCAGTTGCTGTGGTGATGCCTCACAGATTCCACACCTTTAGTGTCCCCCAGGTGATGGGTTACCACTGGATGTCCCAGCATGTGCTTTTCTTTCTGTAGCACCATTCAGAAAACAGCACTAACTTGCTGTAAAAAAAAAAACTCCATAAAAGCTGCAAGGTGGAACAGCAACTATTGTTCTCCCTTGAACTGGTGTATCCGGCAGATTCTCCTCAAGGATGACATGGGCACACAGGGGCTGATTCAGGCCCTCTCCATGGGACAACTGTCACTTTAAAAAGGTTAAAGCACCCAGCAGTGGAGAGACTATGCATGGGCTGTTTTAATTTTCATGAGCCTTTTTGCACTTTATTTCCACACCTACATTTCCAGGTCGTGCTTACTGCCTTGGCACTGTTGGAACACTTGCTAAAGTTGTCTAGATGAAAGCAGTATTTATGGCCATTCCCTAGCACAGCTCAAGCTGGGGATTACACACCCTCCTTCTAACCCAGCCATTCGGAGTACCACAGCTCAGACATGAACTGGGGCAGCCAATTGCCTGACTTTGTGTCTCTGGCTGGGCCCTGTAAGTGCCAAATGAAGCTGGGTGCCTAAACATCATGTCCTCTTGCTGCTAGCTGGGCTACTCCTACTCTTTCTGTTTGTGAAGTGTTTAATGGAATACTTCTGCCTTTCCCACAGTGGAAAGCTCGCTATAGCCATTCAAGCAGAACCTTTGGAAAAGCAATCCTTTGTTTCTCATTTTTATAACTCATTTATAATGTTTAGGACATTCCGAGAGCTGGATACTACAAATGTGATAAATGAAGATACAGAGGCAATGGCTTCAATAAGCTAGGCCTGTGTGACTGTTGCAACTTTGGTAAAACCAGAAACATGTGAGAGAGTGTTTTTTCCTTTTTTTTTAAATCCTCACCATCTTTTGCTAAGTCTAGTCACATAGCACAGACATTCTAACCAGTCTGTGATTAATTAGCTAGAGATCTGCAACAACTCCTCTTCATGACTAAATATTTTTTTAGTCTATCAAACTGTTAGTGCAAAGTGGGATAAATGACACTAGAGGGCCAGTGATCCTGACCTGGAGGTTCTGTTGCTCATTGAGGCTCCAGATGCTAAGCACCTTTTCAGATGAGCCGGAGATCCCCTTGGCCTTCTCCGAGTCAAAGTCAAGGCTCATCACTGGCTCCTGGTGGCAAATGAGTCGGCTCAATGCTTTTCCCATTGGCACATTCCATAGGACAATTGATCCATCTTCATAGCCAGCCAGAAGCACAGGTTGTGAACCACAGCTGAGCTGATTAAGGAAAAATAAAATTGTTTGAGAAGTAAATAATCTGTTAAAAAAATTACCATCCCAGTGTAGGTTTTAGTCCAAGCACCAAGAGAATAAATTAAAATGCTGAGTGATGTAGAAGTGAAAAGAAGTTTAGATACCTGAATGTCAAATTTTGATATTCCATCCACTTACATAAATTATAACAGGTAATACGCACTTACACATACATACCAAATTCTAGATTTTATATCTATAATACATATTTAACATACACACACATATATATTTTTTTTTTCTTTCTGAAAATCCAAACTATTGCCCTCTATAACAACTGAAAAGAGCCTGACTGAAATTTTCAGGAGCTTTACTTCACGGTCTGAACTTTGTTTGCACTTTATAGAAAAAATTCCACAGGGCAGCTGAGAGTTACTCTCGAGCAAAACAAGCCTGTGTGGGCATTGAGATGTGCCAGGCTCAGGGATTCCAGTTCCACAGTGCCAGGTGTAGGGCTGCACGGAGGGATTGCCTGCCCAAGTACCCCACAGTGCTTGAAGGTAAACACTGAACCTCCCAGCAGGAACTGCTGGGTCAGTCACCAAGGGGTTAATGGGCGCCCCAGTCCCACTGTAACCAATTGAAAGCTATTTTGATTAATGATGTCACAGGTCAAAGGGCAGGGCACCCTGGGCAGACACCTAATTTATTTAAGCCTCTGAAATAACTCAAAGAAGGGAACATTACTGGATTACATGTCACACTTAAGGAAAATATTCATCATTGCTCCAGCCAAAAGACGAATGATCCTGTAAGCAGTACCTGGTTACAAGAATGAAGATGCAAATCCCTAATGAAAAGTAACTAAAAACCAGCATCTGTTAATGCCAGTTATTTCTTTAATAGGAGAAGAAATATCAAAATAGATATTGGGATTATTACCACCTCATGTAGGCACGTCTAAGAAATGTATCCAATAGGGTACTCAGATCTTTCCAAACACTGTCTGCTCCTACACGATTTGTTTGCTCAGTATTCAATTAAGATAAAGGGCATAAAGAATTAATTTTCCCCAGTATCTCATTATTGAATGAGTTCAAACTTGCTAGCTGTCAGTGTCATGATACAAACCTGTAGTGGCCAAAGGCTCACTGCCTCTACTAATGGTCCAAATTGTTCTCCCACTGGTTATTCTGTGTTCTGGGGGAAGTTAAACTAACAAGAGATGGGTGGTCTGAGTAACAAAACTGCTGAGTACCAGCCTCATGTGCTTCCTCGGCCTTAGCCTAGAAAAGTGTTTGAGGAGTACAGCTCAATGAGCAGGGAACAACATTACTCCTTAAAAGAAGGAAAGCAAGGGGAAATCCTTGTTAATTTAGGAAATCCCCTATATCATCCTTCTGAATGGGTCTGTCCACACCTGGGATCTTGGAGGAGCTCCTTCCTTCCTTTAAGATCCTTTTTCCTTTGAAAAGGTGGGAGCATGGTCTGGCTAGAAAGGCCCACAAAGCAGGTTTCTCACAGTGCCCAGAATTATGAACAATTTTTCTGTCAAAATTTTTATTTGCTAAAATAATATAACATCAGAACAATTAATACCTTGATTCATACATTGCGTCAGATACATGTGAATTAATGTTAACTCATCAGGTATTTTGGATTAAGAATATCTGGTTTTGGATACCAGATACCAAAAATGTTTTTAAAAAATCTGAATAAAATTAGTATTCCAGATTTTATTTGTATTTAATAAAGGGTAAAAATTTCAAAGCAAAACAAAATATTTAATAGTACTTTTAAGTTTAAGGAAAGTGCCCAATTTAAGCATGAAAAACCCCACAAATATTTGTGCTGCTCTTCTGTGAGCACAAGACTCCCTCAGAGCTGGTGTTTCACAGAAGTTGTAGCTGTCATCAGGCAGTGAAACACGTCGGCTCCTCTCCCTGCCCCAAGAGGGATGGTGGCTTCCACAGGAGCTCCTCACCCTAATGCAGACGGCAGACACAGGTGAGTGCCCAGAATTTTGGGAATGCCAAGCAAAACCCTTTCTTTTCTTGTGTTGTGGGGATAGATTTGAAAAACAGTAATTTGCAAGTGAGATCTCAAATTGGTGTTTTAAAACCCAGATATGGTTTACTATGAAATATAGGTCTCCCACACTACTTCTTCCTTTCCTAACCATTGGAAGTGTAATATTTCAATAGGTACATGAACTAAAACAATAAAAGTTATTGAAAGATCAGTGGAGCTCTTGGTCTGAGCCTGGACTCACCAAGCAGTGCTTCACAACTGCCTATTTATTTCAATTCCCAATAACAGACACTGCTGGAGAGAAGTCTCACCATTCATGTTCTGTGTCAGTAGAAAAATTGAATTATAAATCATTGCTCTTCCTAAGCAGAACATTTTGTTGTTGCATTTGGATAACTGTCAAGGAAGGAAGAAAAGGTGATCTGCTGTCAACTCAACAGGAATAATTGCAATAGTTTATATAAAGTAATAACCCAGCATTTCCAGTTTTGACATGTATTATTCTTGTTGAATTATTTTGTTTGCACCATTATGCAATATGATGCCTTCCCCAAGGAGTGCAAAAAATTTAAGGGAAGACTATTCTTACTTCTACAAATCCTACTCCACCCAATTAGTAATAGCAGGAAGGTGTGAAACTGAAACGATGTATTTAAGAACATGAATCTTCAAAAGAAAGTGAATTAACTAATATTTTTAAGGACAAACCTAGAAAAATAAGGGGGAAACTGCTCAAAACAGCAAAATAAATAGCTGCAAGCTTTTTGACTGCTTAGGGGAAGCCAGTGAGGCTTAATCTACAAGCGTAACCCCAGTTGCTTTCTGCTTTATAGTAAAGTTTCTCATTCACACTGCTGCTGGGGAGGTTTGTTGTTTACCTGAATTGCAGAAAAATATGAAGGTATCTGGCTGCAGCCCCCAAACTCTCATTGGCCAACCACTCCCAGCACTCTTCCTTCAGACCTTTATGGGGCTCTCCCTGTCAGCTTCTGTTTCAACTTGTTAATTTACTGTGCCATAAGCAAGATCAAATAGTCTCTTAGGCAAGCCCTGAGTGCTGGGCTGGGAGTGCTCATCTCCTGGGTATGTCTGCATTGCCCAACACAGCTGTGTGCAAAGAAATCCTGGAGGGCCTCTGTTCAGGAAGGGGTGCAGCTGGGTGAGCTCGTGTTCTCCTGGTTTATGGTTACAGGTTACTCAGAGAGCCACTTCCAGTGCAACCACAGAACAGAATGCAGAGCATCACTCTGGTACACCACATGTAATTATTTCCCTAAGGGTACCCTCTTCCTCGTGCCTTTAAACCAAGTTGCATACATTTGTAAAAGAGCAAATACAGCTGTGAGACTCTAAGAGATTATCTATACTTGCCTGGTGCAGTCTAGGAAGTTATGGTGAGTTCTCAAAGTCAGAATTTGAATGGAATAATTTACCTCTCTCAGTTCCCAGTCCTCTGCTTTATCCCCACTGGCAACAAAATCAAAAACTATATAAAATTAAGACTCTGCACCTGCTCTGCTTCCTAGAGGAATATCAATATTAATGCATGCAGAAAATAGGGCAAGACAGAGGACTTCTTATACAGGCAAGAAAAATTTTCAACACCGAACATTTCCACAGTTATCACCATCTTATTAAAAAATGTCGAGGAGACAGAAAGACCTATTCATTTCATCAAGCACTGAACACTGATTGCATTTTTAGGAGAAACTTTGTTTAACAAAAGCCTAATCAGCCTATTTAATTTCCTCTTATTTTTTTTCCTAACTTTTAATTACAGCATGGAACTTCAACTGTGGCCTCTCTTGGCTTTTGTCTGAAGTCAGCAACTGAATTTCTCTAGCTATCAGTCTGTTCAGGATCTTGGGTGAACACACTGAGGCCTCACTTTGATAATATTTTCAACCAAAACCAACACAAATGTTCCAATGAGCCTGCAGGAATTACAACCCTGGCATCAGCTCAGCTGGTCCTGTAGACCTGTAGCAGTGTGTTGTCAGGGGGTCACATGGGGGAATCAGCTTTGCCACCAATTCCCTGGAGGTTTCAAGCCAATCACCTGAACTCCTTCCTCCCTCTACTGCCACCTTTTTGTATTACTTGTGTTCACTGTTGGCAGCCCATAAACATAATTTGCTAAACATTTTGCAAATATGGGTTTTTTTCACTAACTTCTCTAATTTACCTTTTTGCCTGTAGTCAGTACCACCATAAATATTTTGTTCCTATTGTATATCTCAAACAGAAATGTACATAAGAGTGTTTCCTCATCCTGAGGGCACTGAAGTGAATGGAATCTGCCCTTAAAACCACTGTTTTTAAGCAACCCAAACATTTCTCATCAGTCTTAATGCAGTGAGAAACAATATCAAAACAACTGGCTTTGGTAAGTCACTCATTTTCCTCTTGACTGATGCAAAAACTGTATCTATCCTAAGGATACAAAGCTTTCCTTGAGCATTTGCAAATCTTCCATTAAAGCTTGGAAAGCTCTGAAAGTTACATTAAGGATGTTCACAAATCTTTCCCCCCTTTAGTAGTATAATTACTTGATTGGTTTGATTATAAATCAAAATCCAAGTGAAGAAAGATTCATGTGCTTCATATAAAATGAATCACAGGGAAAACATTTCACAATTAGCAGGCGCTCTTGCCTTACCTGCCATAACTTCAGACACATGGGCATGCCCAGCTTGGCACCCACCTCTGGTTTCAAGGTACAGACTGACGTCTTGGATGGCAGCTCCAAAATCTGAACCTGACATCAGGAAAACAAAGAGGAGTTGGTCAGGCTCCAGGTCAAAATTCTGCTGTTAAAAACACAAGTCTTTTAAGGTGATTAAAGTTAGTATAGGCTCTTCCAGTAAAAACTGGAGGAAACTGAGGAATGCATGCTAAGTTGGAGTTGTAAGGGGAATCAACAGCTAGCTAAAGAAGTGCATTGTTATAGGAAAGACTAGAGAAAATGCTAGAGTGAACACATCCTTTTCTTCTACTCTTCTATTTAATTACAGCCTTCTTTTCAAACAGTGGATGACATTGTGCACACAACAGATAATACTGCAGACTACTTAATCTGAACACAACCCCCTGCTTTCTTTCCCCTTTTACCAGCTTTGTTGCTAATTTTTTGGCTGTATTCACCTGTGAACACTTGCATTCTCCCCTCTGTGCTGCTGTGGTAGCACAGCAGAGCTTGCATGGAAATACAGGCAGTGTATACAGGCAAAGGGGATTTTTATTCACTGCTGACTGCACTAACAAATTGTACCCCGCAATTACTGGCCAAGGCCGGCTGCAGCAGTGTCTGCACACAGGTATTCTTAGCACAATGTTGTCTGACCCTGTCTAAAGCAGGGTCAGAAAATGCTGTGTTAAACACCTGTGCTCTCTACAGAGCAGCATCCATTGTTGGTTGCTGTGATGGTAATGAATCATGGACCTGGTTTATGTGGTTTTGATTTTTTTTTTTTTTTTTTTTTTTAACATTGGGCAAGTTGTTCCTCTGCCAAGGAAGTAGCTCATTTCCACCTCAGGATGATGGCAGGCAAGATCACGGGAATCTGCCTTTTTAGTTTGGTACTGGAAGATTTTGAGACTCTTGACTGACATGGCAGTGCCTCAGCTCCGGGCTCTTTCTCAAGCCTGGAACTCTGGAGAAACAGAAACTCTTGGGTATTGAAAACCTGCTGCCAGGAATGTTGCTGTTTCTCACATGCACACTATCACCAAGGTGATCTTTTCTTCTAATTAAATAAACAATGGTCTGCATTATGTGGCAAAATTAAGCTACTTGAAACATTTGATAAATCCAGCATCACCAGCCACTCTAGGCTCTTCCAGAATGTGCAAGAGCCCAACAGCACAGTTGGACAGCCCCAGTTGTGCGAATTTCCTTAAGCATCTGAGATGAGGTATTACACAAATATGGCTCCTCTGGGAACCATCAATCAAGACCACGGCAGCTGTGATGGCCTTCTAATCCCATACCTTTAGTTCAAAGCTTGCCAGAACATCTTCCTATTTCTAGAGGTTGTCAGCCAGCCTGCCAAAAGCCAGCTGCACTCTAAGACTGCGAGTACAGTGTTCTATACATAACATACAGAACACTTTCAAAAGCCACTGAGCAATAGAGCAGGAAACTGTTTTCCAGATTTGAGGAATAGTGACTACAGCCAAAAGCCATCTAGTCTGCACACCAAACCTGGGAACAGACCGAAGTTTGATCATCTGGGAATTCTGGTTTTTGGAGCTTCACTCTTAACAAAAGATGTTTTTCTCTTGTCAACTTTCTTGCTAGCAATATAATGACCAAGTTAGCTGTGGCAGGAAATGGGCTATAAATATGAAGATGACCTGCCCTCATCTTGCCTCTTTCATCACTGTCTCTCCAAAGGGCATTGCCTCCTAGGCAAGACCAAAACTGCAACTTTTATGTAATAAAGAAGGGTAAGTGTGCTGTGATAAATGCACTTCTGCAGGTTAAAAGAAAAAAACAAACCTTCTTTGCTTTACCTTGACTAAAAACAGATGAACTGGTACAAGGCTACAGTTGGGCTTGCAGAGGCCAAAGAAAAACAATGAGAAAAGCTTTGTGCAGAAGGCGGGCAGGCATGACCTGCTGCCTGAGCTGGATTGACAGTTCCAGAGACTGTCTGCATTAAAGGCAACTGAGCCTTAGAAATAAATACTATTTCACATATTTTGACAACTGTAACTTAAAACTTGAAGTTCCGTGTTTATACTGGTTTTGCTTAATAGGAGAAAGATTTGCCTTTGCCTGAGGTTAATAGTGTTCCTGGGTGGCTAAAACTGGCCACAAGGAAACACACCCTTTCTCTTTTTCACATTAATAAAGCTTTTACCATGTTTCTGGCAAATTGGCAAGAAAAGTGCATGTAACTCATAATTGGTGATTTAAATGCAATCATGAACAAATAAATGCCTGTTCAGATCTCATTATTTATGGACTGAACCTCCTTTAAGACAAAATTAGTCTTTTTTTGGACACCAGCCAAGCATAAACACTTATTAAGTCTTAATTTTAATCATAAGCTGCAAATGTACTGTGTCTCACACAGTGCTGTCTGTTTGGAAGCACTATATATTATGGGAGCTTATGTGAACTTATTGAAACATGACACAGTTCTAATGCAGAGGTTCACACAGAGTGAAACTCTTCTACCTCAGGAGACTGCAAATCATTCTTCTCTTGCAGGGCCCAAGCAAACAAATGAGAATAAAACAGAGATGAGTTGTAAGCAACACCGAGGTAAATGTCTTCTATTTGGGTCAGTTGATTATTTAATACTTCATTACCGGGACTTCTCCTGCTGACACGAGAATGCACTTGTCAATTTTGTTTAACTTAAGTATTATTGAGCACTGCTTTAAGATGGAGGGAGTTCTTTGTTTGATCAGGACAAGGTATGGGACTTAGAATAGTTGTATTTACTGATGCAGTGTCTGTGTCCACAGGCATATCTAGTTTTGTAAAAGGGTGAACATTCTGACTGTGAGTCAACAAAATACTGAAATATGTGCTAAACTTCTGTATAATAAAAAGATCATATTTTCTTGTAATACAGGCACTTATTACTTCATGTGTAAAATATGCAAATTTCAGTTTCAAGATACACAACCTACAGTCCAGAAAAGAATGTGAACTTTTATGTTCATCAGCAATTTGCACTTAGCTGCAATACTTCATTTCATATTTATGCCACTTTTTTCTTCTTTCATAATTTTGGTATTTTGATGTCAAGTATTTAGTATTATGTTTGTGTGATGTCCTCAAACAGTCCATTGTAAAAAACAAAACTGTAATTTCTTACAGAGCAGAAGTGGACATTGCCAACAAAGCTGTCAGTCAGTGAGTGCTGCGGTAGTGGCATTAGATGTGGACTTACCCAGTAGGAACTGAAACGGACCCTGCAATTATCTCACACAGAACACACCTCTGGCTGGTAATGGTAATTCAACTATTTCCAGCCCCAGTTCCAGGTAAGGAATTAGCCTGAGGTGAAAGACCACGTATCGCATTACAAATCACCTGCACTTTCCCTCTTCTCACCAAACCAGATTCAGCTTCAGATGGAATATAAACTCCTCCGTCTGAGGACAGACCTGCTGACCATTATTTCCCCAGAAGGACTCTTGTTCCCAGTATTCAGCAGCACCAGAAGAGTTTTCAAAACTCCTGCATGTAAAGATCAGCAGCAGCTGCAAATACTTAAATGCCAGATAAATCTTGGGGTGGTATCCTTGTTATTAAAGCATAAGTTACATAATTCAGTCATCCTTGTGGCAATAAAACTAGTGATTAAAACCCTCAAAGCTTTCTTGTGCTGCTGCTCTTGAGCAGAGAATTTAGTGGCACTGATGTTTCCCCTTCTGAACGACGTCATTTCAGTACCAAAAGCAACCTCTCAAGCACAGAGAAAGAGACACTTCCTACCTCCTCCAGGCTTCTGGCTGCCATGGCTATTAGCCAGCGTCCCTGCGCCACCTTTAACAGAGAGCATCTGCAGAATCCCACATGCTCCGTGAAGACAGAATCCGTCACTGAAGTCCGTCCCTCTGCTAAATCCCACAAGCAGATCCTCTGGTCGCGCCCCTGACTGATACAGTGAAACAAGTTATCCCCGAGCTGCAGTCTGAGGAAGCCTGGCTGCCTGCAGGGCAGTAACCTGAACTGGGTCTTTGACACACAGTAAAGGACCAAGCTTGCAACAGCTTCTGTGGGGGCATTAATTGGGTATTTTATGAAATGGGGGGGAGTTCAGTGTCCCTGAGACCACCACCTTTCTGCCAACTGTGGAACTGGCCAAGAGGTTCAATTGTCCCTGGGACAGGAGGGGCCTGGGAGCCAGTCAGATACACTGCAATCACAGTTTCCTTGTGCAGGGAGACTTATCAGGCTGAATTGTGCTATTTATATGTAAGAATATATTTATAAAGTCTCATGAGCAGTTGAATATATACACAGTAAAAAATACTTACATGTTATCATTGGTTAGATCTAATTTAAAAGGAAACAAAAGTATCCCAAAGATTTACACATGTAACACTTATTTGCCCTAGCAATGAAATGGCAATGTCATGTGTTGACAGCTGAAAGACAAACAGCAATACAACAGCTCATCAGAGAGAAATAAAAAGTGCCAGTTAGTCAGTGGTCAACTTCCCACAGCTACAGGCAGAGCACGGAGGGCTCCTAGGACTGTGCACATGTAGAGACATAAAGGAGAGAGACTGGCAGCGATTGCTCAAGGAAATGCTGGGCTGAAACACCCAAGGCAGAGCAGCAGCAGCCGCATCCCAGGTATGAGCGCAGCTCCCATGGACTCCTCGGCACAGCCCCGTCCCACAGGCTTTGTGCTGCTCCCAGGCAGGCAGAGCGAGGAGGCCACACAAAGGGCACAGCAGGAATTGTTGCAGATTTTTGTGATCCCACTGGCTCCAGTAGCACTGTGCAGAAGCTTCCAATCCATAAACTATCTTAGCACAGGATGTGTGTCCTCAAGTTATCATCTGAGCCAGGAGTCATCAAAAATCCCTTACCCATGTCTTACTTTAATTAGCAAAACCAAATAGGAGATGTAAATCTACCAACTGTTGGGACTTCTTCAACATCAGTGCTGTTCAACTGAGTGACAAACTGACACAACATTTATAGCACTGTGGATACAAACAGTGTGATACTGCAAGAAATTATCATGATTTAGCTTCACAAGAGAGAAATATAAACTAATGATAAATGCTGTCCTAAAACTACACTGCTATGTGAAGTGTTCAAACTATACTGTAAAAACAGAGGTACAGAAAAACTCTATAATTATACAAACAATGCTTATTCAATATGATTTTATGGGGGAGAGTGTTGATAATTGTACTTAAGCAGATAAGAAATATAAATGCTAATGAGTTCCACTGTATATTATGAGATGTCTTCTCTAGATAAACATGTCAGAACACCTCCTAATCATACAGACACTGGCATCTACTCTAGATCACCTGTCTAATCCAAAGTACACAAATCTTCCTGACCTTCCCTTGCTAAACAAGAACAGAAGGTATTTTGCAACAAAGCAAAACCATTAAACTCAGCATTCTTGCTCATTTTCAGTCTTTCACTCTCCATCTCTGATTCTTCTCTTTCTTCCTTCCCTTTTCTCCATCTCCCCTCTATTTATAAATTCTTTTTTTCAACCTTCCCCAGAAACAGCAGTGAAAAGTTAATCAACTTCAAATCCAAGTGTATTTCCTTGACCCAAAGACCATACCTGTTCTTAGTAAAGACACTACAGGTCCCAGGTTCTTATGATATCATAACACACATAGTAAATAGATTCATTACATCTTTCCCCCTTCACCCCCACCCCCCTTTTTATTCTACAGTCTTTCTGTCTTTTTTTACTTCAGTACATTTCCATATGTGTTGGAGAAACTTTAAATGACTCTAGAATTAAGAGAATCCTTTGTGCCCCCACCCCCCTTTTTTGTCTTTCAATCGCAGACAAGAGACAAGAGTAATTTCACTGGTTTTTGCCTGCTTTGCTAACCTGAGAAGTCTGTCTTTACCACCCATTGTCTCCACGCAGTAGACAGATTTTCTTCCATGGCCATCCAATGCTGTGTCCACTCTGTGTGTTTTCAGGTTCCAGACATGGATAAACCCATTCTCAGACCTGGCAGTAGGAAAAGATGCTTTTAGTGTGAGCACTGCATGGAGGTGATCAGAGTCTGATGCTTTTCATTTTGTTTCTTTGTTTGTTTTGTTTCCAAAACTGATGCTGTATGCACAAGTAACACACCCATCATGCAAAACATGAATGCTGCTGTTTTCCCCAGAAACACTTTGTCAAAATAATACACTTAAATTCAAAAGGAAACAACCATAGGATGCTCGGCAGAGCCAGAAATCCTGGTGTATTTACCCAGAGAAAAGAAGTGGGATATCAGGTTCTGGACCTCCACAGGAAAAATGCAGAGTGTGGACTGGAGCACTGGTACCTCTGAGCACAAACTGTGGATCTGGAGGTGGCAGAGCCATCGGAGCAGTGAACTGCGGGGGTGAGAAGCAAACACAGATATCACAGAGGGTAAAGCAGCCTAAAGTGAAATGACAACTTTAAATATATTCTGAGCAGGACATTTGCTTCTGCTCTTTCCTCTCTGAATTTTCTTTATTGAATGTTCTATTTGCCACCCAGTTGAGGATGAAGTATTTCCTCTTAAGATGAGCTGACTAAGCAGGTGTCCAACCTGCTCTTTGCTGCATTCCTCTCTCAGCAAGGTGCTGAGCTGGCCACGCGCATGCACCTCTCGCACACTTGTAAATCCCAAATCGGTCAGCTACTCTCCCTGTGCTAAAGGGAGATAAATACAAGAAACTTGACACCCATAATTTGAGTGGGCAAGCAATTTATCATTCTGCTTTAGCCCCCTGGCTAAGTCTTTCCCCTTCCTCCCCACAAAAATACTACTTTTGTGGTGTTTTTTCAGAAAAGCATTGCAGTGAACATATCAACTGAAAAGAATTTCAGGTCACAGAATCACAATGCTGGAAGAGACTTTCAAGATCACTGAGTCCAACCCCTGCCCTAACACCGCAACTAAACCATGGCACCGAGTGCCACATCCAGTCTTTTTTAAACACATCCAGGGATGGTGACTCCACCACCTTCTCAGGTTGTGATATAGTCCACCTTGAACTGGGAGTTGATGGGATAATGAACTTCTGCCAGCTTGAACAGCTTCTTGAAAGCATCATAAATGAAGATGATTGGGGGGAAAATCCTTCTCTGATGAAGCAGGTGAAGTATTTGACCAGGAAGCTGGCACTGGTGGCCAGAAGAATGAGAAACTGGAAGCCTGACCAGAGGCTGATCCAGAGGCAGATCCTCCCTGCTCCTGCTGGCCACACCATTCCTGATCCAGGCCAGGAGCCCTTGGCCTTCTTGGCCACCAGGGCACAGTGCTGGCTCATGCTCAGCTGGTTGCTGACCAGTACCCCCAGGTCTCTTTCTGCCTGGCCGCTGTCCAGCCATACCATCCCAGCCTATAGTGTTACAGAGGCTATTGTAGCCAAACTTCAGGACTTGGCACTTGGACTTACTAAATGTCGTCTTATTGGCCTCTGCCACCTATCCAACCATTCCAGGTCTCTCTGCAGAGACGTCCTACCTTCCAACAGATGGACATACACTCCCAGCTTAGTGTTGTCCACAAATTTACTAATGAAAGACTCAATACCCTCATCCACGTCGATGAGATGGGAGTTATGATCATTTCTACACAAGAATCCCATTACTCCAGAGTATTTTAATTTTTGGTTCTAAGCATGGTTTCTTATAAAAAGAAATGCAGTACTTCATATTAATTGAATGACTACTGTGCTAAACATTTTATTCCAAGGGTTTTGTATTCCTTGAAGGATCAAGAGATGGATGTTTTCAGCTTGATATCAAATGTGGTCCACGTCAGCACAGAGCAGGACCAGTATACAGGGAGAGCAGCTGCCCTGTCCACACAAGGAACTCCTGGCAGAGGACAATTCCTGATGAGCTCACAGGGACAGCCTGTGTGATTCCCCACAGGCACTCACTGCTCTGGCCCCTCACCAGGTATTTCCATTCACATTAACAGCTTTGCAGGCAGCTGTGCACAAACACTGGAGAAGGACGAGGACAAATTTTCTGCTCTGACTTGTTGCAAACGACCCTCCAGACCTGGGCTGAGACAAGGCAACCGGCAGCTGATTCAACTGGAAATATAATTTGCAGTTCATCGGAAAATGCATTACAATGTCCATTACAATAAATACTTTCACCATGAGAAGTGTTTACTCCCTGATCTGTGGCATTACTAGCCACACTTGTTTATCTGCTTCTTCCTTTCTGACCTAACCTCACAAAGAAAAGGGCAGCTTCTGCCACTGCAATTGTCACCTGTCATCAATTTTTTCCCACTCATGTGCATATTGCCCCAGATTAAACAAAAAGTGTTCTAAATTCAGTAAGGAATGATCAGCAGGTGTTTGTTTACCTGCTGGTTCACAGCAGAGGAATTGCAGAGAATCAGTATGGAGTGTAAGAGCTACGCGTTCCATGGCAAAACAGCCCAACTCTTCATTGCCTTCTCACCTCAGTACCAGCTTTCAAATTGTGTTTGATGGATGCACTTGCTAATGCACCTCATTTGCAGGTCTATATTGAGTGTTTATAGATCAGTTATCACCATGGTATCTATAGGTTTTAATTAAATGCAATTATCTTTTAGGGCTAGTGATGAAACAGGATTCTTCAGCATAATGTGCAGTTCTCTCTCAATAGCACTGTGTAATTAGGTATGAAAATAATGAGCTCAATGGATACCCTCTATGTTTTAGGGCCCTGACTCATCTCTTTTATGAAGTTGTTGGATGATCCAGACTCATGGCAGGCTAGAGTAGATTTTCAGAAGTACATGATGTGCATGTTCACCCCCACGGTGAGATGCAGCTCCCAAGTGCCCATCTGTAACAGGCTCCTCCTGTGTTATAAACCTGTCACATCAAGGACCTTGTCACCAAGTGAAACCTCTTTGGGGCACTACAGCTGAGTGCTGGTGCCCTCAAAACAACACTTTGTAGAACCAGATAAATAAAAGAGTAGCTAAGAGCTTGTCAGAGGGTCCCACTTCACAGTGGAGCAATTCTGGCTCACTGCACCGAGCAAGGAAATAGAACTGCAGCAACCCAGAGGCTATCTGGGATTACAAGGCAGGTTTTTAATAGCATTTTTCTAATTACTGACACAGAAGTTTTTGCTGACAGACAGCAAGTGTGTGCGTGGCTGTGGGAAGGGTTTTACCTGGCATGAAACAGACACTACTAATGCATGTCTTTACAAGGATGATATTTCAGAAAAATCCTCAGACCAGCTACAGGGAAAAAAAAAAAAAAACTACTGAAAACATACTTCTGAGCTGCAAGCTATTGAAGGGACTTTTTGCTCCTTAGAGTCTGGTTCTTTCCCTGCTTTTCTGCTAATCCAATCTGTGAATCTGGAAATTTGGCTTAATATTGAATCTAATGTTTATTGAGTTCTTATTACTTCCTGTCATGATTTGGCAGATGAATGGCAGTTTGACAGTATTTAGTATCTCATTTGCCTTCCAGCAGGTGCTGAGCTATAAAATTTCATCTTTGCTGTCTTTTTTATCCATGAGCTTGGACAAATCACTTCAGAAAAGATTTAATAAAAAGTTGTTAGGTACCTACAAAGTCCCATGAGGTTGCAAAGAGATGGAAATTTGGGGTACTGGTACTTTAATACCTCCGAGAAAGCATCAATCTGCTCCTGGTGACACACAGGCATGCTCAAAAAAATGACACTTAGCCAACCTTCAACTCACTGGGTAGCTCAGTGTCTCTGCCTTACAGGGATAATGAAGTACATCGTGGTATACTGATTCAAACAGATAATAGTTATGCAGTGCTTTGCTAAGCAGACAGCTACAAACTTGCTAAATATGATGACTGTGAGATGGTTAAAGCCTCTGGGGAAATTTTTAAAAAGTACCTAAGTGATTTAGAAGCCTAAGACTCATTTCCAAATGAATTTTCAATCCTACATCTCTAGGACTTCTTAAAGTTTCACCCCAGGTGTCTAAAAATGAGTTCTCTAATTAGCACAACATTTATTTTCTTGTTAACTCTATCTAGCCTCAGGGAGACCAATCTGTTCTTGTTAACTGGGGATATCTGCAACAAATTTAATTAAATGAATTTGCTTAGTATTTAGTCTGGTCTGAGAGCAAATTCTGACTCAAGGGCTTGAACAAGTCTGGCTCAAGGGCTTGAACAAGCAAAATTCAACCTACAGAATAAAGTTCATTTAAAAGCATTTCTGGGCTATACTATATGTTTGTCCTTGTGTTATTATCCTCCTGCCTCCTGTGAAAGGAGTAAAAAGATATGCATACATGAATCATTTTGCTCATGGCAGTATTTGCTTGCAAGACAGCATCACCTGCAAGAGAGGCAATACCTCACCATCAGGTTCTTTGATTTTTTTAAAGATGTTCCACTTTTTATTTTTTCCAGCCTTTCCCATGCTGGTAACAGCATCAGCCTTCGGGAGCTAAGCTACACTGATGTGGCACAGACAAAGAGAAGGATTTTTCAAAGTGCACTGCAAACCCTTGGGCTCCTGCACAAGTTACATTTGCTACACAAGTGAGGAGTGGAAACCCAGCTGCTCAAATGAGGGTTTCAATTAGTGAATGGCTGAGTGCACCACACATGAGGTACCAAAAAGGGTTTTGTCTAAGAAAATGCATCTGCTAAATGCCTGAACAATTAAATGTACTTCAAATGACATTATTTTAAAAAACAATTCACTATTAATATCCCTCACAAATCTTACTTTGCTTAGGTTGCAATTAGAATAATCCTCAAACCATTTGAATTTCTATGCAGTGGTATTTCAGTATCATCACTTCAGCATTTGATATAAAAAAGTTAAGCTTTCATTTAATGAGAGGCCTTTAAAATATGTAAATGTCAAAAGGATTACCTTAGAAAAATCTCTCAGAGAATTAAAAACATTAACAGATTCCCACAGGAAAAATTCCAGCAGAATACAGCAATTCTCCTGTTCCCACTCCTGTCACTTGTATTTCTATCACACATTGAAGCAAAAACAAATTGCTATTAAAATATCATCCAAACACCCTCCTCCCCCTAACAAACTCCACAGTTCACTTCGAGATACCAACAGCTCAAGCAAAGACAGGAAAAAATCCTCTTCTATTTTTCTTTAGGCTTACTTAGAGTAGTAAAAACCTCAGTGGTAAAAAAGCTTTTTCAGGTATAGGAGAAATAAATCTCCCTAGGCATGTCTGGCAAACTGATTTGGGACAGAAACCAGCAGGTGTGCAGACATAATTACTACTGCAAAATATCCAACACATCCAGGTGTGCTCACAAACAGATACATGAAATCCCTGTTATTTTTTGACAATTCCCAGTCAACCAGGTGGCACCCTCCCAAAGGAAAAATCAGAGCAAAGAATGAGTTG